CACAATAATAATTATGAAAAGTTGATCAGTTGAGGCCTAATAGCTCCTTTGCTCCCCTGATAGTGACTGATACTCTTTCATGAGCTCTCCTAGCACCATCTGCTAATATCTGCTCGATATGTCCTTCATCTTCCTCTAATTCAATAATCTTCTCTTGTATCGGCTTCAAGTAACTACGACATGATTACTTGAGTAAGACCATCCTTGAGCTCGACAGTTTCTTTACCAGTGAAATCCTCCACTACTTCATCAGTGGTCTTACCGGAGAGTGCAGAGTACATGGAGACTAGGTTTGATACTCCTGGTCTTTCTTCAGGTTCGAACGTTACTATGATCTTTCTTTAAGTCCGCCATATTGAAAAATAGGTGTGGTCACTGGTACCGTAGTTTCTGCAGAAACAGTACTTTAGATATTACTCCTCTGACATAGCAAATCAGTAAATGAAACTATGACAGTTCCATGCACAATGATTGTGGCAACATTTCCAATGATCTTGTTAGTCTATTTTTACCCGTGTAATGGAGCAACAGGTACAAAAAGTTTTGAAAATTTGCAAGTAACAGAAATTTGAACAATATCACAGTATATTTGCAAAATAACAATGGTATCATTATTTTTTTCATTATAGTCATGTTACACAAACACTAAAGCATTGAAATATTATTAAAATATCAAAAAATCAACATTGGTTTAAATACAGTCTTCCTTTGAACGTCATCGATGAGTAGCCATATTTTGACCACACCCACCAAAATCCAATCACGGACCCTGTGTCAGCCGGTTTGTACTGGTTTGAATGGATCACGTGACCTAGCTTCCAATCCTGGTTACGTAGTCTAAAATATCTATGCATAGCAATGATAGCATGCATGCATCATAGATTTAATACACAGACCGGGATTGGAAACTTCCCCGTTTTAATTTTATTCCGTGCATGATCCGTGTTGTCGTTGCTATGGTTATTATTACAGTTTATTAATAGTTATTAATGAATAAAATGGCCATCGGTGAACTTTTTCTCTTTTGTGCAGTGTTCTCCAGCCTCTCTTGCATCTCATAAAACACGGAAGAAGCTGAACTGCTGGTGGAAGTTAATGATGACCTCTCTCTACCTTCTGCATCTACAAAAATTACTTAAATCATGGAATAGTAAATGGAAAGAGCTTGCATGTTGTGTATCTCGTGACATTTACCTTTAAATTGATTTTAGCATGATTATAAACAACTAGAATCATTAAACTATGCTATTCCACTAGTGGAAAGATTTCTTCATCATATGCAAGTATCAAACCTATTGTCCGATGATGAGATCAAAAGAACGAGTCCCACAAAGTACAACACCTCGATTTTACATTTTCCGGTTTTATTGCTCCTTTCGGTAGAATAATCAACCAAAAATAGTCTGTTCCGCTGTAGCTACATGTGCTGGTAGCTTTAAAGTAATCAGTGAACTGCCTAACCCCCTACAGTTGGAGCATTAGTCCCACAAAGTTTTGCGCAGGTTCAAACTTTTTCGCCATTGAAATGTTAGCAGCAGCTGCTAGTTATTAACAACAAGGGATGGGTCATTAATAAGTGTTGCGCTCACGTGATCTGTTTCCAATCCCGGTCTGTGTATTATATCTATGCATGCATGCATGCAGCTAATATCTATGACGTAGCTTAACTATAATTACAGTACTTCCGGTCGTATGATTGCGCATGCGCAATGCTCAAACACGTGAAACCTCGTGAGTTAAAGAGAAGTCAAAAACCAAGTAACTACAATGGACACTACTACTGAACCTTGCTCGAAAGGAAGGAAAGTCTTTAACTATGATTCTGATGTTGATTCCGAGGACCCAGAACCTTTTATCAATTTATCTGTGATGGATCATCATCAGGAATATGCAAACCCGTTTGATTCCCTACCAAATGAGGTAATACAAGAGATATGCATGATGCTGCCACTCAGAGATAAGATATCCCTTCGATTAGTCAATCGAAGACTTTACAGCATATGTTCTGATCCTCATTTGTGGAGAAACGTTTTCATTGATGATGCATATCATGAGACAAATGCTTCATTCATCAAATCAGCTTTACAAATTTGTCACCCACATGTACAGTCGCTCAGTTTAAAGGGAAAGCTACCATTCAGTAAATATCAACAAATGATTGTTACATGTAACAATATTCATACTTTGAATCTTTATGGGTCTGAAATTACTCTCAATGATTTGAAGAGGATCTTTTCAGGTTTACCTCATCTACTGTGCTTAAGCCTGACATATATTCGCACTGAGATAGCTCATATTTTGAAATATTTTCCAATCTTTTCAAAGTTAAAGAAACTTGTCATAGTTTACATTTTGCCTGACAACCCCAAGAGACTGTTTAAGAGATGGCTGTTGAACAACTGTTTGCCGCAAAAATTTATTATGATTTCAATCGAGTGGAACGAACCTTGGTCCAGGAATACACAGCAGCCTCTTCCTAATATCACTCATTCAGCTTATTTTGCAGTTTATACGAAGCTTCACCGACCTTTGAACTTTGATTTTTATGATATACCCGTGTACTCATTCGAAATTGGCCCCAATAGTTCTGAATCTGTTGCTGTGACTGCTAATGGGAAGCTCATGATTACAATGAGAGATATGATCACACCAATGAATGATGATGTTAGTCAACGATATGCTGTTTTTAAAGATGAAGCTGTCACCCCTGGTCTGCCAGTTTATACCAGTCAATATGGAGTTAACATTACCGTACTTGAATTTTCTTCTGTAGCCGTATCACTTGAGTCCTTTCGTATGATTGTCAAGGAGACCCCTAACGTATTGGAGGTCAGTTTGAAGAGAAGTATTATATCAGATTGTCTTGATGCTTACATGGTTCCGTTATCTGTACACTGCCTCAAACTAAGAGGATTAGATGTGTCTTGTTTCTCTACTAGTTCCAGAGATAGCGGTATCAAGTTTGATGTGGAGAACTTTTGGAATCTTTTGTCAAGAATGAAATATTTGGAATATTTGTCTGTCAACTGTTGCTCTTTCTCACCGCTTACTCCCAAGTCTTGCAATGGTAAACATTCATCAAGAGTCCTAACTGATAGAGAGCTGTCAGTCAAGGAAAGTGTTATCAAACATATCAAGACTCTTGGTCATATTAAGAGAATTACCAGACTCAAAGGTCTTACTGTCACTAGCTCACCCCACACTACTGTGACTAAAGCGTTGGATTATTTTATTAGTCAACATTTGCTTTCAATTATTTCGAATCTGGAGTCTCTTTTATATCTGGAACTCAATATTTTATATAGAGAAACCGCTACAGTAAAGTTAAACATTATTGAAGGGCTTGAAAGCATACTTCAGAAATGCCATAGACTCTCAGTTCTGTATATTAATTGTCATTCAGCCAAACTCAAACTACCAGTAGATCCAGCACTTTATGCCAATCTCACTCATCTCTGGTTTGACTGCTCATATGAACAAAAAATGACTTTGGCATTTGGTAATGCTTTAGCTATCAGTAGCAAGAAGCATCAATTGAAGTATTTATTTTTGGATTATGTCGAGCGTGAAGATGTTCGGGATAAAATTGAAGAGGGTAATTATATTCAATTTAACAAAACACCAGATCATCCAGATGAATTGATGATATTAGAAATTATGGACGAGATGGACGAGATAAAATTAGAAAACATGTGCTGCATTTTTATGAGGTTGCAGAGCTAGACTTAAGTATAGCAGATTTTGCAAATTTACATTAATTGTTTACATTATTAAGAATTGTAGCAGCAACTGATTATTAATTTTGTATTTGTCTTTTGTAGTTTATAGTGCTGTTTTTGTTTTATTTTATTATTATTATTGTCACTATTTTTCTTTCATTATTATTATTAAAATTAATTGTTGAGAATGTTAAGCTTATCGTTTACTACAAATAATTATTATTGTCATTTCAACTAATGACAAAGAATATTGGTCCAGGAATAGGCAACATACATCATTTTTAGTTAATGACATGACTTAACTGAACAAGGCCAGTCAACAGAATCTGTTTACTTTAACCATAAATGCATTTCACTGGAATGCATTCCTTCTTGGGTACAGTTTGCTGGAAAGTATCATTACACATTTACATATAATAATTATTATTAGCAACTAGTTAAAAACTGCACTATTATAGACTTTACATGGATCATCACAAGTTCACAAAAAACATAAATAATAACTTTTATTTGCTTTAGACTTGTTTGTCAAATTGTGTGGATCGATTCATGGAGGCGTGGAATATAGTGTCAAAAACGTACAATGATAGAATACAGAGGGACCGTGTTGGAATGCAATAGCACACTTACATCAAAATAACAATTATATATATATTACATAATTGGTTTAATGAAATTGAAAATAATCGTTTTAGTGTATACAATCAGATAGATCCAATACACATTAATAATTATGAGAAGTTGGTCAGTTGATGCCTAATAGCTCCTTTGCTCCCCTGATAGTGACTGATGCCCTTTCACGAGCTCTCCTAGCACCATCTGTTAATATCTGCTCAATATGCCCTTCATCTTCCTCTAATTCAATAATCTTCTCTTGTATTGGCTTCAAGTAACTTATGATTACTTGAGTAAGACCATCCTTGAGCTCGACAGTTTCTTTACCAGTGAAATCCTCCACTACTTCATCAGTGGTCTTACCGGAGAGTGCAGAGTACATGGAGACTAGGTTTGATACTCCTGGTCTTTCCTCGGGTTCGAACGTTACTGCTGATGTACAGTCTGTTACTGCTTTGCGTATTTTGTTGTGTACTTGATCTGGTGTGTCCGTGATGTCTATACGAGCCATTTCTTGGTTGTCTGACTTGCTCATCTTTTGCAACGGATTGCGCAAACTCATTATCCTCTGGTTTTTACCTGACGTGAAAGAAGATAATAAAAAATTCAAACTCAATCAGAATCAGCTCAAAGTTAATACACAACATATGAACATGTATATGTATTAGAAAAATTATTATAATGGAGAATTCTCTCCTAGTCATTTTTGATGAAATTTCGCAAAAGACCCTGTGCTATAGTACAGGAACTTTGGCCTAATTTTTGAGCAACTTTAAAAATTCGTAAAAAATCAAAACTGGATCAGAATCAGCTCAAAGTTGATGCACAACATAAAAACATGTATACGTATAAGGAAAAATTACAAAAATAGAGATTTTTCTCCTTTTCATTTTTGGTCAAAATACCCTGCACTATAATTATAATAGTACAGGGTATTTGGACCAATTTTTAAGCAGCTTAAACATTACCTTCAGAGAGTAATGGCTGTGGTTTTGGAAAGAACTCTACTCCATAACGAGAATTGAAAGTGTGCGCTATGTCACATGTTAGCTCCAAGTGCTGCAACTGATCAGCTCCAACAGGAATATGAGTAGCTCTAAAGAAAAGAAAGAGAGAAAGAGAGATGTATACAAATAATACATAATAATTACAATACATAATAATTATACATAATAACTACAATACATAATAATTACAATTTACATAATAATTATCAGTAGTGCATGCTCACTTGTATAGTAATATATCAGCAGCCATCAGTATGGGATAAGCATATAATCCAATGTTTACAAAGCTCTTATTATCAGTTGCTCCTTTTGACTACAACAATTACAAATATTTATACAATACGTTATAAATAACTTCCCCTGAATTATATGATTGGGATGCATAAAAATGTTGTGATAAACAATAGCTAAACTTAAAAGAATTTATTTCCCTTGTAAATTTCCTTTACAGCAAAAATATGTATAATGATTTCATTGACTGTTGTTACTACATGTAAATATATAATGTGAGGCCCAAAAATCCTATTTTAATATTAGTCTGTTGTTGTCATACCTTCCATTGTGTCATTTTATTTAACCAACCGTTTGGTGTCTGACAGCTTAGCAACCACATTAATTCACAATGTTCTGGAACCTATGCACAAAACCAATAATACAGGACCCCCTAGCGACAACGCAAGACTGACTTGACTCTGCTGAAACACAATGCTTTGTTTGGGGTCTATGCCACAAGCTAACAGACAGACTGTCATATTCTTGATGTTCCTCTTAAGGAGCAATGGAGCCTGATGGACAGTCAATGCATGGAGATCAACAATGCTGTACATGACATTATTGCCACAGGTCTTCTGGAGTTGGACCCAGTTCCTTATTGCTCCTATATAATTACCTAAATGAGGCACTCCAGAGGGTTGTATCCCAGAAAACACACGCTGTGCACCAGCCATGATAAATTAATTTGAGCCACACCTCCAGTGGAGTTGACCCACGTGGTTTCCGTATTCTTCAGGACACGGGATCCATGTCCAGCCAGCCCCACCCACACAATACAGCTATAGCTATTCCAGTATTCACATATCGGCTTATTCCTCCTCTCACTAGTGCCTCCTCCTCCTCCTTTAAACATACTCTTATCTAAGGATTACTGAGAGAGGGAAGAGCCCCAGTGCTCTCTCTTTCTGTGTCTCTATCAAAAGAAAACGAGGAACACAACGGATAGATAGTCAACTAGTGGCAAGTAAGTGGTGATGTGTGTATGTTTTTTAGTGTTATCAGGGTTATTATGACTAGTAGAGTCTGATAAAGACACTGCTTTAGTCCAAAAGTCTATTATTTTACTCTAGCTAGTAGAGTGGTGAGCCCACTGACAGGTGTTAGTCATACAGGATTTGTTGTTTACATCATGTACCAGTGGGCCTTGTTCATACATTGTTTACCAACAACTTGTGCTCTTTGGTAATCATTGACTCCTCATAGATAGTATTGTTGTTACTCATTCAGTGTTTTCAGTCCCCATTGTTACTGGCCTTTATTTCTGTGTCTCATTTTTTACTGCCTAATCCTTCTCTCCCTCTTCCTCCCTCCCATTACTCAAATTCCTTACCTGTCATTTCTCATTTAAAGGTCGCTCTATCATTTGTTAGTTTATTGTTCCTTAGTGTTTCATTAAAACAAACAATTTCGTATTTACTTAGGAACAAGTAATTTGCACTGATATTTCAATAACTTGCATTATAGCATCATTATTATCATCAACATGCACTTTCTCTTTCTTTATCATTATTATCACAGCACTACCGGCATGATGTCCAGCACTGATAGTTTTGATATCATAGAGCCTCAAGATGTCGTCAATCATCGTCCCAAATTATCATCCTCACCATCACCACGAGTGAGATCAGGAGCGATAAGTTTTGTGTCTTCGGAGGGTCCCTGCTCTCAATGTCAAGACAACCAGCTGGCACTGATTGGAGCTCAGGAAACTAACGAGAGGTTACTAAGAGGTCTGAGCCGGATCATATCTCAGCTTGATCAAGCGCGCGAGTATCTCATATCACTTGAAGATGCTTGCCATAAGAAGGAGAAGATCCCCGATCACATCCACATGCCAGTCGAAGACATATATATCATTGATCCCGAGACCATCGCTGCCAAGAGGAAAGAGAACGTGGAGCTTGGTACCGTCGTTGATCAGATGTACCCTAGAGGTCTCGATTATTCGGACATTGAGGAGCAAATATCAAAACTGGACAAATGTCTAAAGGAGACGAGAGAGACCTGCATCACCTCAGCTAATGTTTGCTTTGATGGTAATCTGTTTGGAGGGAAGAAGGAAAGACCACTACTGAAGAGAATGAACACGGTCCACTCTTCATCTTTCAGCCAGTCGGCCGATAAAGATGATTTCGATTACATGGGGAAGCACCTCGGGCCGCTACACCAGACCTTACTGTACAAGCTTCATACCCAGCGGAGTGAGCGCCACTATCATGACGGGTCATTGGCTGGACCTGGTCTGCGTAGGACCCACTCAGAGACCGAGCTAGACTCTGTGTTTTTGGCATCACTCACGCTAGAGGGAAGCGGTCATGAACATAGCATTGGAGGAGCAAATACTAAGACTAATACAATACTCAGTACTAGCGGCAGAGGAGTACTCAGCTCTGCTACCAGCACTTGTAGCATACAGCTGCCGTTTCGTAGTCATTTAATGTCAGTACTAGGCAGACAGGAGCCACGGGAGTCAGTCACATCTCTTGCTGGAGGTGGGACACTGTTACGAAAAGTATCTGCCGATATTGAAGACTCTAATTTCGTACAACCTTTGGGAAAAGGATTGACAGGTGAGAGTGAGAGAGAGAGAGAGAGAGAGGAAGGAAAAAGTGAGAGATAGAAGTGAAGCACAACATTTTAGCATATTGATAGTCTGATTTGGGGGTAGTTGAACAATTTACACTTGGGACCTTGTATTGTGAGGTATACTGAATGCATCTGCCTATGTAGGATTGTATTTGTCTGATCAATGTGTACATAACTTCATGGTATGTACACTGAATAATGATTAGAAGAAGTATAGTAAATCTTGATGTATGGAGTGAGTGAGGCAAAGTTGAGGATAATGATAGACAGTGAGAGTGAGATTGCTTTAAGTATGATTATTATTATTATTATTATTAGGTAATGAATCACAGCAGTTATTAGAGAAGATATCATTAATGGAGCAAGAGAGACTATCATTTGTGACAAGGATTGACGAGCTAAGTGAGCAGAACAAAGCACTATGGCTGACTATCAGCGAAATGGTAAGCAAAGGAAGTATAGGAACAACATTATTCTAAGTATTGCTATAATTTCACTGCTATTTCCACTTATGCACTGCATTCAATGTATGGCTGACCAGTTGGCACTCTATGTTATTTGTTGTGACATTTTGAATGTTTGTATCAGGTTACACACACATTTTATGCATATTTTACTAATGGGTATCCCCTACAAGCAATACCCTGCTGATTATTATATAATTCTGTGGTGAGAGTAGTCCATTGTTCATGCACTGGGACTGTTAGTCATTTCTCAGTAAAGAAAACTGCTCAAGAGAATGGTAAACATTGATATTCAATAATCAACACTAACTGTCAGTGTTTATCGCAAACTCATTGTTTTTATGTATAAGAAAGCATCCTTTTATATCCATTAATAGTATAGTACCGGTAATAATAGCACCTGCATGTTTCAAAATCTCAAACGTGGCTGTACTATTAGCTGTTGTTATTGTATAGGGAAGTGATCTTGATCATAAAAACTTTGAGCTCCAGTTGTTGAAAACCGACATAAAACAAGCCACAACTGAGCTGAGGCTTGCCTCAGAGATGAGAGATGAGCTTAAAGACTTGAAAAGGTACTGGCACACACACAATGCTCCTCCTACCATACCTTTAATAAATATTAACATGATAATTATAATACCATTTTACTTTTAATATACATTTTAAAATGATAGCGAACGCAACAAATTGAGAGAGAAGTCGACCTCGCTGGAGGATGAAGGCAGACTGGTGAAGGAGTCCCTGGTTCAAAGACTCACTGAAATGGCAACAACTAATAAAGTGCTATCACTTGACAATCAGAGGCTAAGAACAAAGGTATTTTGACCTTGTTGCCATGAAATTTGATTAGCTACCGTGGTAATGAGTACAGACTCATCCTATCTCTTTTGTAGATTGTTCAGCTTCGATCAGCAACTGCTCCTACACTGAGCAATCAGAGCAGCAAGAAAGATTTAACTTCAACTGATTCGATAGATATTGATATAGGGGTTGAGCCAGGAGGTGGTAATGATGGATTACATGTACAAGCACTATTAGAACTGGTACGTGATGCAGCTATAATATTACACAGCACAGTATCTGTTGTATTCACATCAAATGAATAACTTTAAGAGAGAAACAGTATTTGTAGTATCTTGTGATCTTTACTATTTTCCATAGAAATTTGATTAAAGATAATGAGTATAGTATGTATAGTATGTATGTATCATCATGTATGCATTTGTTGAGATTATAGCTTTACTTTCATTGTATTGCATATTCTACTTTTTATACCAATACACACACACCTGACCAATGTTGTTTTTGTTCTAGCTGGACTTGTAAACCATCCATTTATGCAATACCTAATAATACTTATTACATGTATTATACCTTAGAAAGCTTAATCATGATAATGCTTGGTATGTAGCAATTGAATAATGATAATTAAATTAAAGTTGTGATGTTGTATGAATGAACATAATATATTTATGTATTTCTAGGATGACAATAATAGATATGTACATAAGCAAGGGTTCCTTGTCAAGCAAGGACATAAAGTGAAAAATTGGAGGAGGAGAATGTTTGTATTGGACACCCACACACTAGCATACTACAAAACAGAACAGGTATACCTTTAATCAAGAGAAAAAGGGAGTATTATATATTATCGTCTTCTTATAGCCTTTAGGTATACTACCATTGGAGGACATTACTAAAATACAGATAGCCCAAGGACAGTAAGTAGCTTTGTGGATTAGTTTATTTTTGTCAGTAGTAGTTAATGTTGAAGGATGAGTGATTGTTTACTAACAATAGATCAGCCCATTGAGTTTGACATCTGGCAGCTGGCCCATTTCGTTACAATATATGTATATTGTAATTTAATTGTGCTTTATTGTTTATTGACTAGTGCATTTATAGTTAGCTCTTTTTGTCAATATATCCTTACACTCTCAGCTGTGCTGAAATACATGTACATGTACTTGTATTCACAGTTCACCCTTCCTCCTTTGTACTTCTTCAAAAGTAGCATAGGTCATGCATGTACATGCAATATTATAAATAAATGGTTTGTTTAGTTGTTAAAGCTATGCTTTCCACAGTTATTGTCATTAAATATACTATCCCAATCAGTTTATCTTTCCAGTTTGTATTATCATGCCCGTTATAGTAATCCCTAGACTAGCCTACCCTCTCTCGTCTTCCCATTTTAAATTCTCTCTCTTCTTTCTTAGAACTGCTAAACCTAACATGTTTGAAGTTCATCGTCAAGAAGGCCCCAACAAGAAAGACGTCCGTGTCTATTACCTCTCGGCTCCAACTCAAGAGGAGATGCAATCCTGGATAGGCATCATTCAAACACTAAAAGACACTAAAGAGAAGACGTACAAGCCACGACAGGACCAACGACCAGTGAGTACCTTCGCCGGCAGTAGTCCTCCCAACCAGACAGCAGGAGCTGCACCCTCTCCTCCTACATTATCGTATAATCTTGTAAAGAATCGAAGTGTGTCCACACTACATGTGTCAACTCCTGGCTCATTAGGGACTACAATGCCAAGGACTGATTCATCTTGGGCCGATTCTTCAAGACTACGCGTCACGATAGCAGAGAGTGGCGGAGTGAGGAATAGAATGTTCACTGAGGCTGGGCAGTTGAGACAAGACTTTGCTACACTCCATATGAGTATGGATACTTCAGATGAAGAGGAAATGGAGAAAGGTAAGAATGGTGATATGTAGCGTCTATATCTACATATATATATATATATATGCATAAAAATAATTGTGTATAATCATTTGGCTCAAAATTTGTCTACACAGCATAAGACCTACATGTAAATAGATTTAACTTTTATTGCATGTTTTGGGCATGTACTCATTCATATACTTACGGGATGAGCTTTTATCGTTATTCTTAAATTAGACATGAAATCTCCATTTCACGTATCATCAGATGAAGATGCAATGAAAGCCGAGCGACTCCAACTCGTTACATTACAAAAGCAAAAATAAAATTAATTATTATTGTCATCATTATTATAATAATATTATTTATTGTCATCATTATTATTATTATTATTATTATTGATTATTGTGTTTCTATGTGATTATAACAATATCAACCACTTGTAATAATTTTTAGAGTCAAATAAAATGAATTATTATTTAATATTTGAAAGTCATGCACCTATGTTTACCAGCATTACATCAAGTTATGTAAGGAAAAACCATGCCATGATTATATTTAAGTGATGTGTGAACAAATGAAAGTTATTGGCTTGTGTTATAACTTATTATTCATTAGTGAGATGGGGTTTGCTCGTGGTGTTATTATCTTTGGAAAAACTAAAGCTTCCGACTTGTCACTATCATTACAGTGCCTGAGTGTGTGTTGAGTTGCATAAACATCAAATTGTAATCCAATCAGTTGTTCTCCCTTGATAACAGACGTACACCTGTTGAGACATTAAGAGTAAACCTATAATCAACAACTGTACATCTATGAACCTGTACTTGTAGTATGAAGGCAAAGCTATCAGCTCAATCAGCATAATGTTGGTTTATTGTCTGTTTGATGTGTTTGAGTAATGTAGCTAAGACTATCCATGTAACCCTATTGTAGCCTATTGATGCATACAATGGCCTATTTGATCAATTGTGGGCAACTAAATTTTAGAAAAAGTGTACTAATTTTGTTAACACCTCTTAGTGCAAACTGCCAGTTACTGTAGCAGCCAAGTATTCATTAGTATAATGCTAATAATCATTTCCAAAACTGCAATATTAAAATCTCCAAAAGTGTATGCATCATATCACAAATCAATTTCTATAACAATAAAGATCATAATCATAATCATAATTGCAGCATAATAATAATAATAATATATTCTTATCACAATTGTCCCATCCTTTACACAGATATGGATCCTTTACGAAAGTCAGTCTTTCCAATGAAGCAATTAATGAGGACCGGCTTATTGCTCTTACGAGAAACATCCTGAGCCTCACTGAGTGTCTTCCTGATGGCCTCATCATCCATTCCACGCTCCAGCTCATACCCCAGACCACCAAAACCCTCAGCCACAGTGTGATAGTTGCAATACTCCAGCATGCAGCCAGTATCACTGCCCAGTATGGGGACCTGCTCTCGAGCTATTTGAGTCCAGCAGGCATCATTACCAACCAGAGCAATAACTGGGAGCTTGAAACGGGAGAATGTGTCAAATTCCGGTATACTGTACCCACAGGATCCATCACCATATATGATCCATATGTCGGAGTCAGGGCAGCATAGCTTAGCTCCTAATGCAAACCCTCCTCCAACTCCAAGAGTGCCAAACGGGCCAGGGTCCAGCCAAGTAAGGGGACCACGGGGACGGAGTATGTAAGCGGCAGAACCAACAAAGTCTCCTCCATCAGCTATCAGTATAGTATCAGGGCTCATAACCTCCTCCGTGATGTGTAGGACTTTAAGAGGGTTCAGATGCTCATCTGGTATTTCCTCAGCCTTTGATTTAGTGTCTGCTTCCTTTTCTTGGTCCCTTGACTTGAGGAGGTCAACCCAGCCTCGGTCGCACTGATAGTTCTTGAGATACGATGCTAACTGTTTTATGAAGTGACCGGGGTCACCTTGTAGAGCTAGGTTTGGGTTCCAGGTCATACCAGCATTGAGATACAATTGAGTCTTGTTACGATTGACGGCAATAATGACACACTTGCTATTGAAAACACGTCCATAATTCAGCCTAAAATCACAGACTGATCCAACCAGCACAACAAGGTCAGAGTCCTTAAGAGCATCACGTCTCCTTTGCCTTATATGGAGATGTCCATTACGTCCCAGTAGCCCACGAGACATTCCTCCAAGGTAACATGGTATACCAATGGTCTCCAAATGCTCACGAGTGTCTTCAGCTTTAACAGGTGGCAGGACAGTTTGGCTCCCAATAAGGAATAAAGGTTTCTTGGATTTCTTAATCAATTCGGCTGCTTTCATAGCGTCACTATCAGCACAGAATGGCCTCACTATAGGCAGTGGTGACATCTCTTTAGGAGCCCATGCATTACCAAACACACGAGCGACATACGCCTTCATATACCAATAGGTAAGGATCTGAGGCAAGGTCCTGGGTTTCTTCTGAGGGAGTATCTCTTTATGCACCATTGAGTAAGAGTAGAGAGTATCAATAGGGAACTCTACAAACACTGGTCCTGGTGTACCCGACTGTGCTGCAGCTATTGCTTTCCTAAGAGTCGGTACAATGTCCCTAACTCGAGTCACTGTTGCACAGAACTTACACAACGGTTTGAACAGGACCATCTGATCGATATCCTGCAGAGCCCCGCGTCCCTTCAATATACCTGCAGCTGCTCCGCCTATGAGGAGTAATGGTGATTCGGCCATTTGAGCATTCTTAACAGCAGTGACAGTGTTTGTTAGACCCGGTCCTGCTGTAACGCACGCCACGCCTATCACACCAGAGAGACGAGCGACGGCATCAGCTGCAAAGACAGTGTTGACCTCGTGACGTGTTCCAATAACTTTGATACCCAGTTTCTCACTGGCTACCAGGATTGGTGATATGTGCCCTCCACAGAGTGTGAATAAGAACTTGACACCGTGGGCTTTGAGAGTGGCTGCAACCAGCTCACCTCCATTGCTTTTAGACTCACCATCAATGTAAGCAAAGAAAAGGTCAAATATGCCCAACCTGTGGGCCAACACAGCAAGTACAGTAAAGGTGAGGGTCATTAGGACACCAGCCAATCCCAGCCATGTGGATATACAGCTAGTTATCATTTCCATACTGTTCTGATTTGGAGGGAGGAACAAACTGCAGCAACTTTACCAAGGACTCGAAGGAAAGAGAGAGACCACGAGACTCGAGCAGATAAAACAGTAGAAAGGTAAGAAACACCTTAAATACACACTTGTAGGATGTGGGATGGGCATTAAGCTATGCAAATTTCTAATGAAGTACATTAAATTGATTACTTCCACAGCTTCTCAATTGTGCACTGCTGGTGTAGTGGTATCATGCAAGATTCCCATTCTTGCGACCCGGGTTCGATTCCCGGGCAGTGCATGTTTTCTTTTTCTTTTTTTTTGCTACAAAGCTCCGCCCAGATTATTTTTTTAACCCCCCACGTGTAGACCATCATGCCTGTTGTGAGAGATAAAAGTATTAGAAAGCTCAAAATGCTTAAAAAGAGGAAGAAAAGAAAGCCAAACGAGGAGAGTGCTGCCACTAATGAGGTAGACACTCAAGCTGTTGAAAATCAGGAGAAGGAAGAGCAGTTAGGAAAGGAAGAAGTCACTGGTAAGTGCCAGTACTTCAGTCATGACAGTCAGTGAGGCTGAAAATAATCCATTAGATCATCATACTTGTGGAGAGGAAACTGAAGCTAAAGAAAAGATGGTTGAGGAAATTGACGACTGCTCTTCTGTTAAAAAGAAACGGAAGATAAAGGAAGAAGGAAGTGGTGAGTTGAAATGTATAGTTGTATGATTGGAAATAAATGTTTTATCATCATTTATTAATGCTAGATGTAATGATGTGTTAATATTTATAATTAGAAAAAATAAAAAAGCCAAATAGTGTATAATAGATACTTAGTTCATTACTTTAAAGTTAGAAAAGTTACAAAAACACTAATTAATTAAGAAAACCATACGTACATTACATGCGTTTGTAAAACTTCTGTAGTGTCTCGTGGATTTTTGTTTTAGCTGAGCCTGTCACTAATTCATGGCTATTTTCTATACGGTAGCAAGGAAAGAGTTTTGAAAAGTCAAGGCATCCAAATCCTTCAGTTTCAGTGTGGTCTTGTGGTTTAGGAACCAAGAGCTTCAGTAGAGTACGCATGGCATAAACATTATGAGCTGCATCAAATGCTGGTATATCTCTCCATTCGTATGCTTCTTCCTCGTTCTTAGACCATGCTCTTATCTTGTCTTGATCTGTGTTCATATTCTCTTTTATAAATTGAAGCAGTAGTGCTATGTATCCAGCAACCACTGGAGCTGCATATGATGTGCCACTATATGTGCCTATTTCTCCTTCGGCAAGAAAATCCATTTCCCTTCCAATGGCACTGAATCCAATACGATTGTGAGATTCATCACGACCTCCAACCACTAATATATTACCAATACGACCAGGATATTCTACTGTATTGCGTTCCTTCTTTCCAGTGTTACCAGCAGCAAATACGATAATCTTACCAGCCACCACTGCTTCATTAACTACTCTGCACATGTCATAATAAAATGAGGGCATTGATAAAGAATAAGAGATGACATCAATTGGTGGCTCATGATTCTTACAGTCGGTGAAAGCCAGATGATAATCCTCTTCTACATTATTAGCACACAATATTGAGGCATTTGGACAAATTGTATGTAAGACTGAAGCACACTCTTCTCCATGTTGTTTGTATCTGCCAGTAGCTAAGAAAGGTTTAAAACTTGTTTTGTTTTTACCTATCCATTCTTCTTTCTCTTCTGTGTCCTGATCAAGTACAGTAACAGTAATTCCTCTTCCATCTAGATTATGGAATGATTTCTCCCTTTCCTCTTCATCTATTTTTTCTATGTTATAAATTGTATTTAATTTAGTAGTTTTGTTGAAATTGGAAGCATCATCTATGAGCAACACATTAGCCAACTTCTCTAACAAAACCCCATCACCTACGCTTAAAAGATGATTAATAATTTTCTCTCCATCTCCATATCCTAGTTGAGGATGATGTGATCCATTTCCTTCGCTGACGAGTAACTCACGAATCACATAAGTGTGTAAATGACCATAAGTAGCTCTAATAGCACCAGCCAATGCTTGATTTAAACGATCAGTGAGGTTTGAATCAAGCACGTGATTGATACGTGATATGAGAAGAGCTAATAGGCCAGTGAATATGGCAGCAGCAGCAGCACAACCAGGAACAGGAGTTGGATAATTAGGAATTAGTTGATATAAACTGCGACATTGTAGAAAGGTTTTCTGAGATACAGGTACATGTATATCCACTTCTCTTCCCTTTGGTCCATTATCAGCCATACCCACTGAGAGAACAGTACCCAGAGCTGCTGGAAAGACCACGCCCCCTCCTAATTCTCCAGCAGCACATACAATGATGATACCCTCGTCTGTTGCCTTGTGTATTTGTATCATCTCATCCTCCATATACTGGCCTCCATACGGTATCAGTACCAGTAGATTATCATAATCCTTATTCCATGTCTCCTCCCATTTCTCTCTTAACCACTGGATAGCTTTACTGGTGGCCCCATTGGCAATGGTACCATCACAATATGTGGTTTGACATATGATGAATTTAGATTTATTTGTATCATCATCTGTCAAGCATGTGTTTTGATAAACTGGAGCTGTGCAATTAGTGAAATTCTTCATATCAATAGATTTAATATAGTCAAATGATTCTTGCTTTTTGTAACAACATGTACATGTAGTACACGTATGTGCAAATTGGTGGCCATGAGTGTAGATGGATTGGTAGAAACCATAGCCTAATGTAGCTATCAAAATCCTGTTGATAGGCATGGATTGACTTGTAATTAAAACATTTGAAGGGTATCCTAACATTTTGTGTGGACTATCACGAATACCTTTAATTAAAGGTACTTCAGCTGCTAAATCATCATCCTCTAAATGATCAGAGATTTCCATTGTCACTTCTGCATCATCGATTATGATTTTTTCCCCATTCCATTCGTAATCTAGCATTAGCTTTAACTCGTCAGAGCCTTCTGAAGTAGCACGTAATTCTTTCAACCAAATTTTATAATCATAATATTTAGTAACTAGTACCTTCAGCTTGATATATTCCAAAGTGACATTTCCTAGTTCTTTAAGTTCTCTCTTTAAGTCCATAATATTGGGTATTATGTAGGTTAGACAGACAACTGTCAGCCTTTTTATAATAAGAGAACCTTTACCAACAAGTGGACGCAGCTGAGTGGTTGTTTTAGATACGGCTTCATAGCTACTCTTATGAGCAACCACTAATTTCTCAATAGTCAAGCGCCTCTCTTTTTCCTCTGGTATGAGGGCCAATAGGATCCATGTGGGAAAGAAGAGATCAAATAGTGGAATAGTTTGATTAGGGACATCAAACTTTGCTCTTATGAAAGTGTTATCTTCAGCTCTGTAGCAGGAAATGATATTTCTTTTGCATGTATACCTCTTATTTGAGAACTGCCTCATGTGATCTTTCACATGATTAAAGGTATATGGTAGAGTAAGTGGTGTGTCAATATCTTTTGGAAGAGGGGAAAGATCGATATCAACATCCTGGTTGAACATCTCCATTTTGTTACAGAAACTTGTCAGAAAGTTTTGAATTGATCATGTGATGATTTAGATAAGATTAAGATCAGTGGGAGTGACTTTAAAAATATTCATAGAGCTTGAGGTTTGCCTGGTTTTCAGAATCAGTTACTTGTAGTTATGCTTTTGATTATTGGGAAAATTTATAATGAAGAGTAGTTTCCAACATGTTTCAGTTCCATTCATATTAGTTAGACTGTTAGTAGCAATTCATTGTAATGTGAGTTTAATTTTAGATCTTCATATATGGAAATAAAAGCTGAATTAGTTTGTAATTTTTTAATATATATTTTACATAATTAAGTAATTTTTATTAATATTTTTTTCTCTTCATTTTAATCATATTTGTACTCAATTTGTGCTCAAAATGACAATTTTTGTTTGTTTTATTTTCTACAGAGACCCAGTTAGAGAGTGTCTTAGGTGATAACAGCAAATCCTTTTCATCCCTCGCTGGTCTGGTATCAGATAAAACACTGAAGGCAATAGAAGAGATGGGATTCACTGACATGATGGAGATACAGTACAAAAGCATAAGACCACTACTGGAGGGAAGGTGGGCTTCTAATTGTATTGTAATTATATGAAGTAGTTGTACTTATTATTATTATTATTATTATTATTATTATTATTATTATTATTATTATTATTATTATTATTATTATTATTATTATTATTATTATTATTATTATTATTATTATTAATTATTATTATTATTATTATTATTATTATTATTATTATTATTATTATTATTATTATTAGAGATTTATTGGGAGCAGCTAGAACAGGTAGTGGCAAGACTCTTGCTTTTCTAGTACCAGCAGTTGAACTACTTTATAAACTGAACTTCCTACCACGTAATGGTAAGCATAATGAATAATAATAATAATAATAATAATAAATACACATTACACATAAATTTTATAATACAGGTACAGGGATTATTATCATCTCCCCAACAAGAGAGCTGTCATTGCAGACATATGGTGTGGTTACTGAACTATTGCAATATCACAATCACTCTCATGGTATAATAATGGGAGGAGCTAACCGCCGGGTTGAAGTAGAGAGATTGGAGAAGGGAGTTAATTTATTGGTGGCTACTCCAGGCAGACTCTTAGACCACTTACAGGTGACACTATTAACCTATTGCTCTGATACATGTACATGTACATGTACTTATGTTGTGTAGAAAGTTTGAGCTAATTTTGATCAAAATTAGATTTTTTACGAATTTTTTAAGTTGCTTCAAAATCTGGCCAAAGTCCCTGTACTATAGTACAGTGTCGTTGGCCAAATTTTGCCAAAAAGGAAAAAGTGAGAATTCTTCATTTTTATAACTTTATCTGATGCATATACATGTACTTAAGTTATGTAGAAAGTTTGAGCTGGTTTCGATCAAAATTAGATTTTTTACAAATTTTAAAAGTTGCTCCAAATTTAGGCCAAAGATCAATTTTATCATAATAATAATACAATATTTTTATTGCAATAATTATTATGCTATTGTTTTTTTTTGTAGAACACTAAAGGATTTGTGTATCAGAACTTACAGTGCCTCATTATTGACGAGGCTGATAGAATATTGGAGATTGGGTTTGAAGAAGAAATGAAACAAATTATTAAAATATTACCAAGTAAGAAATTGCCACATTATGCATACATACTACACAGGAAATGTAATCAAATACAATACAATGTCGTTATTATTTCAGAGAAAAGACAGACCGTCTTATTTTCTGCCACACAAACAAAGAAGACTGAAGACTTGGCTCGTGTCTCTCTCAAGAAAGCTCCTCTTTACGTCGGAGTTGATGATGACAAGATGACCTCGACTGTTGAAGGACTAGAACAAGTAATGAACACTTCCACTGCCAACACCTGGTGACATCAACCCATACACATTATTACCCAATCCCCCAGCTGGTTTACATGTAGTGCATGTTGTTCCTTTGGACTATGATTTAATAATTCATGTAATAAACAAGCATTATAAGAGTGTACAGTAACTGGTACGTGTATATGTATGTTATACTGTAGTGTATTTTGTAATTTAATACTGTGGGCTATAGTGATATTGTTGTTATTGGAAAACGAGTACTTTGTTGAGCAATGGTCCAAGCAAACAGGAGTCTTTATGGTCTGTCATTATGACTGTTAGATGTGGCATGTCTTCAGTAATTATGTTACTTATTATTGATAAATTGTTCAAGTCTACCACTCCTCTAAATAATCTATTTAAATTATTCTTATTATTATTATTGTTTATTTTATTATGTATGCTTTTATGTGCATGTGTTTCTGTTACAGGGTTATGTTGTCTGTCCGTCTGAGAAGAGGTTTCTCCTATTGTTTGCGTTTCTAAAGCGGAACCTTGACAAGAAAGTAATGGTCTTTTTCTCTTCGTGTAATTCAGTCAAGTTTCATTCGGAATTACTGAACTACATTGATATACCAGTTCTTGATATTTATGTGAGTATACACATTATGAACACTGTCTACTGTAATCCTTGTATTGGTTGTACTGTGTAGCTGGCTTGAGTTTTGTAGCCTCTTGATTTATGGATTTTTTGTCTTTTTATTTTCCAGGGGCGTCAAAAGCAACAGAAACGTACCTCAACCTTTTTTGAGTTCTGCCAGTCGGAGAAGTGTATACTATTGTGTACTGATGTAGCAGCACGTGGTCTGGATATACCTGAAGTTGATTGGATTATACAATACGATCCACCTGATGATCCCAAGGTACATTTAATGACAGTACAATATTTATATATTTTAATTTTTTAATTCCAATAGGAGTACATCCATCGTGTTGGTAGGACAGCAAGAGCTGGTGCTAGAGGAAAGGCTTTATTGTTTCTTTTGCCTGAGGAGCTATCCTTTCTTTGCTACTTGAAACAAGCAAAGGTGAGCTCCAATAGTATCTCTATTGACTCCATTATGTGTATCAGCATGTATTATGTGTATCAACATGTATTATGTGTATCAACATGTATTATGTGTATCAACATGTACCTGTATATACAATGTACTACATATACTGTATACATAATAGTGCCTGTGTTAATGAATGTGATACTCATCTTTACTCTATAGTAAGCTATTATTTGGCTGGCAAGAGTTCATTTTTCTAGAATTATAACTCTCCATGAATAACATTATAGAGAGATGGATTAAATGGATTAATTCTTAATTCATTATATTTCACTAATTCACAGTCTAATGTTGTGTTTGTTGTGTTGTCTCTAGGTTCCATTAAATGAATATGAATTTGCTCCTGGCAAGCTCAGTAACATACAAACACAAGTGAGACACATCAAACACACACACAGAGGGGCAACCTCCCACAAAGCATGCTAAGTGAGCTAAACAGCATGAGCTTCATGAGCTGACAAGCACTACAATACAGTATGTGGCATTTGGAGCAACTTTAAAAATTCATAAAAAATCCAAATTTGAACGGAATCAGCTCAAACTTTCTACACAGCTTAAGTGCATATATATGTATCAGAATAAATTATAAAAGTGGACAATTCTCTCCTTTTCAATTTTGGCAAAATTTGACCAATGACACTACTATAGTACAGGGACTTGGGCTTGATTTTGGAGCAACCTCAAAAATTCGTTAAAAAATCCAATATTGATCGGAATCAGCTCAAACTTTCTACACTGCCTGAAAACATGTATATGTATTAGAAAAAATTATAAAAATTGAGAATTCTCACTTTTTCATTTTTGGCAAAATTCTCCTTTGCCCAATTTTTGAACAACTTGACAATCCACTGACACAATTCTGCATAAGCACTATGCCAAAATTTTATGGGAAACCTCCATCATCTTTCATTATTTGTAAATATTATTTTTATATAGTTGGAACACCTAATGGAAAAGAATTATTACCTACACAAGTCAGCGAGGGACGGTTATCGCTCCTACCTTCAAGCTTATGCTTCCCATTCACTCAAGAGTGTCTTTAATGTGGAGCAGTTGGACCTACAGAGAGTAGCCAAAGGATTTGGATTCTCAGTACCTCCCAGCGTCTCATTGAGTATCCATTAATAGCCAATATACCTAATGACTGGTTATTGATTTAATTTATAGTAGCAGCTTTATGTGTGGTAGTAGCTCTGTTCCTTTATTGTACAATGAAGCTTTACTATTCTTAATAATAATAATTACATGTACATGTACACTGTGCAACATGTGCATGTATGCATGTAGTGTTTTCTACTTGTGTTTGTATTCATTCTTTAATAGTGTGACTAGCTGGTGTGTGTGTGTGTGTGTGTTGGAATATCCTGGTTATAGCATCAACATAAATACTTGATTGTTTGTGTTTCTACATGCATGGGGTGATGTTTGTGTTTATATTTAGTAACTATGATGTTTTCGTTGATTAGGTATGTATGCATTTTAGGTGTGTGTTTACTGACATAGAGGATGATCTGTTGAGCAAGCATACATGTACACCAATGACAGTACACTGTTATACTTATAGTATAATTATTTGTGTTAACAAGTTTGTGTAATTTCAATTTTTGTGATTTTTAACTGGTGAAGTATGACATGGGTAAGTTACTTTGATCAGTAATAGCCTTAAAAGGAAAGAAAAGATGTCGTATGATATTTTCATGTATGTATGTATGTATGTAGATGTAATTAATGCTAAAGCATGAAAGCATTGGGTACATTGTATATATTAAGTGAGAGTAACAAAAATTGATTGAATTACGATCCTTCCAGTGTGTTTGTGTGTGTGTGTGTGGTATTATCTTCATATACAAAATGTACTTTGTCAGTATTTTGCATTTTAGTGTTGTCATGACTTCCATTATTTTGTTTTCATGACAGCCCTATGGTTGTGTCTCGTAATTAATAAGAGCCAGTATAACAAATAGTGACAGTTGTGTCTCTTTGAAACTGAAATATTTACTAATAGAGAGCCCACACTAATGGGTAGGTATGGCTAGTGGTATTAGCTCCTCCTGTCTATTACCTCCAGCTGTTGGTTTCCCTCTCATTTCATACTGTACTAGCCTTAAGCCCACCCTCTACCTTTAATCATGTATCCTTGTAATTACTGTTAACTATATTCTGTAGCAGCTGTCTAACAACTATTCTTTTCATGAAATAAAGTGTTTATTGTTATATTTTGACAAGAGTCAGCTTTATTCTATAATTGTCTAAGCCTTCTCTTACTACTGCTGCTTTTGTATGTTGTTTCCCTTAACTCTTAATATAGAGATACACAGTTCCAAAGGAGCAGCTAAACTAGCCAAGAGGAGAAACTATGGAAGAGAAACAGATTATTTAGCAAAGAGAAAGAAGTTCACTAAGCCAACTGGTGGAAAGAAGGACAATAGACAAATGGTGCGATGATAATTAACTCTCCCTTTGTTGGTGTGAATTGAAATTTGTCCTTTATTATTTATGTAACTAAAATTTTTTGTTTTTTTGGTAAGTGTTGAGTATAGTGAAATCAGCAGAAATTATAAGGAATGATCAAGTATAGTTGTGTGTGGCTCATGTGATTATATTGGTCATTGATATTCCTATCCTCAAAACCACATTTGACCACATTGTGAAATGGACAGTTTCCTGTATGCAATGTTTAATTTCAATCTTGCTAGGGCCCTAGGATAATCGATTGTACATATTGCCCAACTGCCTGTTATTATATTATACTACTAGTATATTGGATTGTAGTTCTCAGTGTCAACAGTTAATATACATGTAATTAGAGCTGGTTAGGTTTAATAAGTGTAAGTATGTGAATCAGTGATTTATGTGCTAACTAGTGTACATGAACTTAATGACCTTTCTGGTGTGACTGGCCTGACTCGTGTCACATCATACTATAAGGATTGTAATTATCATAGCTAACCTCTATCTTTACTCTAGGCCATTAAATTGTATTATTATAATATTATGCTAGTAGTGATAGCATAGAAATACCTGATTTACAGTATTGTGCATTGTATGATGTGTGTATTGGTTTTATGAACATTTGCTCGTTACTATGACTAGAGTATTCTGCTGCATCTTGTTTGTTAGTAATATTTTTTATTATTATGAACAAATCAAGAAGGTTACATCCGATTACATATTAGTACTACCCTCTAATAATTATTATTGTTTTCATTATCCATGCACTGTTAGGTTATACATGCACACACACACACACACACACACACACGACTGGAAGTATAAAGAACAGTGATATATACTAACAGTACCTAATCTTATTATTTATTTATTTATTTCTTGTACTTGTTTTGATTTGTACTAAACTAGGAAATGTGTATGGTACACTCACTGTACAAGCCTATCATGTTACCTATAATTATGCAGAAGTAATTTATGTTCTAAATACTCGTACTATGCAAATTATATACCACTGATGTATAGTCTAAAGCATGCGTAGTATGGAGTGCAATGTATATACTAATGAATGGATTCTTGTGTTAGTCCACCAGTCGCTAAGAGGAAGGCTGTATGGGTGTATAGTGGGTGTACTGGAGGCGTATGTATGTTTGTCTAATGAAGTTAGCTATACATTAGTAGTGAAGCTTAAAGAATGCCTGTATAGTGTAATTGAGTATGTTCATTTGAGTTACTAACTTACTATACAGGACACAGTGTCACCTGTATTATTGTACTCTAATAGCTCACCTCACATGATGTGCTATTGTACTATTGTGTGTGTGTGTGTGTGTGTGTGTGTGTGTGTGCATATGTTTTGCTGCATTGCCTCTGTATGTATATACTTTCTAAAAGAAGGCTATTCCCTGTCCTGTTTTTTTCCGCTTCGCAATTTTGTTTTCTTTTGACGAGTTTATACTCTAAAAAGGTGTTGTACGTACATGTAAGTACATGTACATAAATACCGAAGGCTATTATCATTAATTATAGTATTTACAAGCCTTGTAATGAATTGTTTCTAATTGATGGTTGTATTTGGGAAAAGAAATAGGAATGTTTATGAGTTACATGTACTACTACACAGCTAAGTGACTAACAGGAAGTATAATCCCATCAAGTGATTCACTAACAGTGTTCCCCATACCGAGCCTTTAATAAGAGGATGTGTTGGCTCTACGAATCTGTACTTATTGCATTGGGTGAATGTATTATCGAATTGGAGTCAAAAACAATCTATTATTATTATTGAGTGATTGTGTTAAATGTGTGTTAACTCCTTCAAAACAGGATACATTGGAGGCTCACCTGTTTATCAGTCGAATGCTTCTTGGAAAACATGCACCGAATTTACTTTTAGTATGCATATATGCACTTGTCTGCTTCACTAAATTAATAGGAATGGCTTAATTCTCCCTATTTCTTTCTACATTCCCTTTCCTTTCTTTTTCCCTAGTCTTTCCTCTCTCTTTTGATGTACATGTAGTAGCAATTGTTTGTTACACAGAGAAACACTCGTACTATTTCTCAATTATTGCATTCTAGATATATACTCATTACAATTACTAGTATTTCTATTTGGCACGAGTCATCTCATCAGAGATTAGAGCAGCTCCTCCGTGTAATGCTGTGATACACGATCCAGAACATCACTCATTGTATACTGGACACTGAAAACATAGTAACTGAAAAAGTATTTATTAGATGTGACATCAATATTAACAGTGTATTTATGTGTACAGTGAAAGATTAGTCTATGTTTACTCATTGTTAGTCCTGGTACCACTTATATCACATGATCATTCATAATATCATGAGATGCTATTGGATGGGTGCCTGTAATAGTAGAAAGGATACTGTAATGGGTTTATTTGGATTTAGGCTCACGGCTATAATAGCTGTCATTAATTGAATTTTTTAGTAATAAATTCCTACTGTTTCTTGCTTTCAATTGCCTTACCAGTTCAATAATGTCCAGTATAATATTCCAGTATTAAGTAATGGAATATCAATTATATATAAAGACAATGAACTGGTTATTGGTATAACTATAGACTGCTAATTATCTCTTTATCTTTTCTCAGTTGTAATAATTAAAGTATCATCTTTCATTCCCTTGTCTGTCTATGATGACATTTAGGTCTATTTCACGAGGCAGATGTCCTTTCTGTTGACTGTTTTGTTGTTAGTGATCTCAGGTTGGTGGTTGGTACCATGTGTACTTGTTTTTATGATGGAAGGAGCAGGTGTATCATATATTAATGAGTGTTGAGTGATTGTGTGTCTTGGTGATACTCTCCTAGTCTCCTTGCTATAACCCAATGGAAAGAAGGTGCAGGTGCCACTAATTAGTTTATGGTAAACAGTTAGAACCACAGAGACCTCACATTTGGTGATACAATCTCTGATCTGCACCAGATTGCATTACACAGGTTCTGATGTCACCGACATATGTAATGGTTATTGTGGTATTCGTGATACTTCCAGCTACTCTAAAACTAACCATTGTCTGTCTATTGTGTGTGTGTATGTGTGAGGTAACCTTTTGGTTATGATAAAATCACCACTACATTTCTGTACAAGGCATCTTGTAGTCTAAGACAATACTATAGCATATACTTGTACAGATATACAGGAAACTATCATTATAATCAAATTTATGTGTATATGTAATTGCGTTATAATTTTTTAGTTTTTATTTTTGTTTATGTAAAGCAGAGGATCTATTAGTAGTGATTAAATTATAGTTCTGATAGTTTGACTATTACTATGAAAGTGTTGTCTGTAGAGTTGGCTCGTCCTAGTCAATATAAGTTCTTATGCTACAACAATAATTACTAATACACTCACTCACTCCCTCCCATAGCATTGTCCTACTGGTATTGAGTGTGTTGTGACTTTAATCTCTACTGTCAACAGTTTGCCACTTTCCATTTCATACCTGATGCGTCAACACCATTTGATATTAGTAGCTCTTTTATAATTATCACTCATCAACCGACCATTCACATATTGTACAAGTACATGTATAATGTTGCGAGACGTACACAATTAGGATTTCGTAACTAAAAGGGATGGATTTTGTATTATTTTAACAGCTATCTTATAGCAAGTTAGTAAATGATTTTAATGAAAGGGAGAGTTGCATTGTGTATTCAAATTAGTCACATAATAGTTTATCTATCATTAACTTTCAGTGTAGCCTTTGTTCAGTAATCCCACATCAACCGACTACCCTCGCCTCCTTATAAGGACAATAAGCAGACTCTCACTCTCTTAGACTATTCTTCTATTCATATTACTATTATCACATCCTGATACCCCTCCCTGCCCTTTCTATAGGGCCTTGATTGGTATAAAGCTTGTGTATACAGTACTAATGATTAATATTGACAGCTGTCATGATGTCACAAGGTAGTACCAGATATTACTGGTATATGCCAGCTAGTACATGTATATGTACTGTATCTGCATTGTGTATTGTAATATTTCTGCGCAGTCAGTATAAGCAACCTTTGCAAATACATCTATGAATAATCTCAACTTGATAAGGCCAATTGCAAGGTTCTCTAGAGGATGACCATATAAGGAAGCAATAGGCGTGTGCATCACATGCTCTGCTCTAGTTCATTGTTCTCAGTAATTATTTTTAACAATAATAATAATGATAATAATATTTATTAATAATACATGATAAAGTGTTGAGGGTCAAAATAATAATTATTAAGACAAGAGTTAATGATAAACACACCAAAAACTGTCCACCTGACTTTAGTCTTTGGTGTCCTGAATCATAATACAATAATAAACAATAATAATAATAATAATAATACAGATTTGAGTGACAATGGCATAACAGTACAATGTTGATTGTTGTTTGTTTCATATTAAAAGGTAAAGAGTGAGTGAGAGAGAGAGAGAGTGAGGATAGATTATACACGGTACTAGTCAGTTCCAAGAAGAGAAGAACGTGAAATGACATGGCTGTAGAGTCCTGAACTTTTTGTTTTTTTTTCTTTCTTTTTATACCACATTTTACACAGTAGACACAAACTTGCATTAAAACGAGTACAACACCAATAATAATAATAATAACAATAATAATAATAATAATTCCAATAGCTAAACCACTCACATTACTTTTTTGTGATAAAGTCCCTTTTGAAATTAAATCCATACTTTTTGTGTCCCTCGCAACTGACAAGAAGGAGTCCTTTTAAATGAAATTCCAAATAATAAAATATAGATTAATAATGATAGAGGAAGATGACAAGGAAAGCAATTATGAGTACTATAAGAGAGTATGTGAATGGAGGCTCATCGAACAGGAGTTGGGGTAGGACCGACAGGTAGCGAGTTATTAGTAGAGTGAGGGAAATGAATCATTGGGAGAGAAGAGGAGGTGCTGTTTGAGGAACCGGAGTCGCTCCCTCGTCTGTTGTACTGGTGATGATGCATGTGACCTGTGTGCCACTGGGGCTGATGATGATGAATGATTGTAGTTGAGGTTGGGGATGACGGATGGTGCTGCTGCTGTAAGACTGATGGAAAATACGGACCCTGACAAAAGGAGGCCTGCCACGATATCACCGACTGTATCTGGCAGAGAATGCTTATCGTCTTGTATCTCTCGCTCTCCATAAGACAACGAGCATGTTGTCCGACTACTTGTAATAACACGTCTAGGAATTCCAGTGCTTTCCTTGGCTGCTGCGATTGGAGGTAACGACTGAAGACATACTTGTATATCTTGCCATACTGGGCGTTGCTGGAGGGGAAATCGATAAAGAACCTACTGCACATGTAAGGCTCTTGTCTCTCAATCTCTGCCGAGTCTGCAACGGTATACCCGGCAACCTGTAAATGGCAATACTTGAGGAGGCCCCCACCTCGTATGCCCTCTGGGTTCTTCGTGCTTATCAGACGATTGTTTAAGTGATCAATGGCTTCTCCAAAGTCGCCATACAAGCTGGTTACCTGGATACGTGGGTAGAAATTAGCATCTAGTTTAACTGGTGACATCTCACCGCTTCGGGCATCGTCAAACGATAGGAGAGGGTCGAGTAATATTTGAAATGAGTCTATCGAGAATTCATACTGTCGTTTCATAGAGTCCACGAACTTCAGTTCGATGTTTTTCCCGTTTATGTCCCCGAGTGATATGAGAGACCATTTATCGGTCACCGTAGAGACTTTGACCATCTTCTTGACGTAGCATTCCTCAAGCATAAAGGACGATATGCGACCTGTCTGGGTCCCTTCGGGAAAGAAATCGAAGAGCGAATTGAGTACTTCTTCTTTTATGATGTGAAGGTCCATCTTAGTCTTGATTTGTATCATAAAGATTATGTCCAGGTCGTTGTAGTGTAGTGCTGGTGACCTCTCTCTGTCTTCTGCTATGCAGTAGCTGGCAGCACTGCCATTTAATCTAACATCAGTCACATCAATGTCTTTGCTGTCAAGTCGCTTCTTTACTGCCTTGATGAGTTGAGCAGGAGATATGGCGAGTGTGGGGAAGTTGCCCTCCTTTGCATTGATGGCGATCGGGTCAGAGACTATCTGAGAGAGTCGCTGTACTTGCTCGAAAGTTAGTGTCTGCTGTAGTCCTCCGCCAGTTGAAGATGGTGAGCTACGGTGGCTGGTGGTGCTGTCATACTCCGTGAAGTGGAATCCTCCATTACTGCTGGTAGAAGGTGTGAGTGGAGGAGGGCTGCTGCTGTAACTGCACATGGTCTTTGGAGTTGAGAGAAATAGAAAGAGAATGAGTATAGCCTGTTCAGTAAATCTGTTCACAATCTGTCAAAGAACAATGAGAGAGTATGGGAGAGGGGGAGGGAGACAGTAGGTGCCGTTCACAGCCGGTACAGTGGATTGTGTTGTCTACAGAGAGATAGAGAAGAGAAGAAAGAGTTAGAGAGGTCTATTTTCACTCAGTCTTATAGCAACTGATGGATGGGTAGGGGGTTTTATGGTGAAATATAAGTCCCGGTCAGTTGCGAAATACATAAAATTACACACAAAACCTTACCTGATGATGCAAAATGAGAGATGAGAAGTTAGCGGTATATGTAGATCGAGTTGCGGAGGTGGTCAAAAAAGAAGGGGAAGAGCAAGAGAGAAAGAAAGGGAGAGTTAGCAGCAGAAGCACCCAGGTGTTACTAGATGTTGGACAGCAAGGAAGTACAGCACCACACGCTAATACTGCCCCAGTTAGGCCAATACTTTTATTCACACAATAATACAACACCGGCAATGGCCGGTTATTACCATGACACCGTCAAACATAAACTCGAATCTGATTGGCCAAGTCTGAGCTTGTCAAGTGACGTTAGCTTCAAATTTTCAAATTAATTGATTATTCGGTTCGCGAAATCTCTGGAATCGTTATGCGTGGGTGGTGATGATCCGAAAATGGCAGAGGGAACTTTGCATTATCTTGAGTTTTTCCCCAACATCCAGTCTTTGTTGATAGTCGTGTCACCTCCTTCAGCAGCAGGGAATGGAACATTGATATTTTCACCTTTTAAAATATCTTACAAGAACAGTTCATGCTGTGACAATGAAGAAGCACCACCATTGACAATATGTAACTGGTGGGATACTCCTCTGCCTCCTCTCATACCAAATTCAATGATTAATCTCAAGACGATACCCAACGAAGGGACTCACGTACGTTTCAAGACTCGCCCACACAAATCAACATGTCACAGATTGGAAGGGATTAGGGAAACAATTAGTTCGATACTTAATGTACCAGAGACTGGTGACGCACCAAACGTAATAATGAGCTGCCGTTTCTGTCACGAGAGGCTAATGAGGCATTGGTTAGCTCCTGTTTATACTAATCTAATACTCTTGCATGTGTATTGACAGTCTGTCCACACTTATTGATGTATCCATGTATACCTATAATGTCTAGGCTTAACTAGACACACAATGTTGATTGACAAGGATTGATTGCATCTAATGTACATACACTTACCTTTAATGTGAACCTACAGTATCCTGTTTGTATATTCATTACGTATTAAAGTCCCACAGCACACTGGCATGCTTGCATACAGCAGTTCTGGTTCCATTTGCATACTTTGTGCATTATTATCATGAGCTTACCTTATTCAATATGCTAGTGTACATGATATTAACAGCAATGTAGTACTGTACAATCGCATAGTCATTGTCATACTGGAACCTGTACTATTATAAGCCAGTGCGCCTATTTGTGTTGTGTCTGAATTTTTATATATAAAAAGAAACATAAAGTGTATTTTGAATTCATTATGTTTACATAACGGATACAGGATTGTAGCCAGTATTTCTATTCTAGCAATTATGCTCTGTGTGTGTGTGTGTATGTGTATCTTTTCTTAGCTTTAAACGATGCCTGCCTTTACCTTCACTGGAATGGACGGAAACTGTTGGTGACATATTTTGTCACGCACACAAGGAAGATGCCATTAGTGACTACACTCATTCCTTATTCCCACACCGAGAGACTGATATATTGATAGGAGAAGAGACTATACTGGTACAAGACTCAATACTGGGAGGATCGGTCAACAGGATATGGAATGAAGACCAATCAAGCGTATGTAATGAAAGCTTACCGTATACTATATGTTCTGTATAATAGCTGTCAATTTTAACTCAGACACTCATACATATATACTGTATAATGTATTGTTATTGTGTTGTGATGATTCTTATAAGCTCAGACCCACACTCTATCATTATGATGTTGTATGTGACATATGGTGATGCTTATAAGCTATTCTGTGGACACTAAAATTGTTTATTGAGATACTATTATAATCATAGTACTACCATTATACTACTAGCACATTCACACTGCCATTGGGTTACTCTCACCTCATCCATTGTGCCCATCATTTGTAGGTGAGGTGTAAAAGATGCTCAGTATCAATTGGCCACATTAGCAAAGGTAAGTGCAAAGAAATGGAATTTTAATTAAAAAATGACTAGCCCACCCAGAGCCTGAAATAACAGTTGGACATCAGACATTATCCAACTATTTTGTTCAATTGTCCAACCAAATTCTTTGTTGTTTTAATATTTTGTCTGAACAACATAATAATGATATATTTTTAAAGTAATAACAAATTAATCATGTCCAGCTGCAGGGTTTCCCACAAAGTGTGAGCTAAACAGCATGAGCTTCATGAGCTGACAAGCACTACAGTACAGTACATGGCATTTGGAGCAACTTTAAGAATTCATAAAAAATCCAATTTTGATCGGAATCAGTTCAAAGTTGATACACAACATAAGAGCATGTATATGTATTAGGAAAAATTATAAAAATCAAGAATTCTCACCTAGCCATTTTTAACAAAATTTGGCCTTTGACCAAGGCTATAGCCTTTGGTCATTGGCTCGATTTTTGAGCAACTTTTACAAATTCATAAAAAATCCATTTTTGATTGGAATCAGCTCAAACTTTCTAAGCAACATAAGACCATGTATATGTATCAGAAAAAAAATATAAAAATAAAGAATTCTTTTCTTGTGATTTTTGTCAAAATAGAAATACCCTGTACAGTTGCACAGGTTGAGTAAGTACTTGACAATTCACTGACAAGCTGTATGGACACTATGCCAAAATTCTAGCTGTGGGAAGCCCTTTCTGACTGTTTCATGAAAACGGCAGATCAAATTAAGCAATTGACACAATGTCTGAACATTGTTTAAATGCAATTTCAGGCTTTGTTCAGCTTATCCATCAATTATGGCACCAATATCACATGTATCCGTTACCATATGAGTCACTATAACTCAATACACACACACACACCTGTATGTATACATTCAGATAAAATTACTTATCACATAAACAAGTGTTCCCTATATAGATTATGTCATTTTCAGTTTATTAAAGGGGCCAGCAATTACTGCTTTGTGTATATTTCAACCTACAGATTCTCTCAAGGGTGTCCCAATAGCAAACATTGACAGATATAAGGTAATCCATCTACTCCTCCAAAGGATGAATGACACAGCTCTGGGACTGCCATACAGCCTATGAAATGATATTCTGTGTGTGTGTGTGTGTGTGTGTGTGTGTGTGTGTGTGTGTGTGTGTGAATGTGTGTGTTTGGAATGCTTTGTTTAAGTGTCCATTAAGATTCGAGAGTGTATGGTGCAACAAAGTGAAAGATAGAGCCTAATTGAGTGTATGATTGTCTGTTTGTGTGTATTTCGGTACTTTTAATCTATTGGATCCTATCCAAGTTTTAAATTTGAAGGTTTGTATTAGCATTTCAAATGAGTCAACTAAAGCTAATGAGAAGCATCAAGAGATGGGAAGGAAAGATGAACATTATTTTGCTGCTAAACTCTACAGACTATCAGAAGAACTAAACTGCTTTAATTTCTTGATAAAGTCGCAAACTGGACAACCAATATTGCAAGTATACAGTTACTAATAATCTTATATCAACAAAATGTATTAAAGTATTATTATGTTACAGACTAATTAAAGTAATTATGCATGTAATGTGCTGTACTTTAATATGATTATAATGAAGCCTAACAGTGTTCACTGTGTGTCATGCACATAGCTTGCTTCTTTCCTTGAAGCTATGCTAATCAATAATGCACAGTATATACTGTATAATACTATCAGTATATATGTATAATAGTATATATGTATAATTATATGTATAATAGTATTATGTGTTTAGGATGTATAGCTAACATGTATAATGGCATAATGTAATCATTCCGTTATATTAAGCTATTCCTTAGATACAGTGCTTTCGCAGTGTGAGTTGGATAATGACAAACGTCGTCGATAAAGATGGTATGAATTATTATAATTATTGTGATTATGGAATTATTGATGCTGAGGTGTATTAATTATTACAATCATCGTGTTCGTTGTTAAACTTAATATCACCAATAAAATTGACACTTTGTCTTAAAATAATAACAAGAAATTTACTAGCTTATAGCAACAAGCTCAGTGCATGGATTATCACCTGCATAATAATAAAAGAGCAGAGGTTACAATATGACAGTTATTGTTTTTTATCTTAAGGCATACAAAAATGTATGTGTAGTATTTATATCTGATATAATAATTACATTAATAATCATTATTATTATTATTGTTTCATTTATTGCAGGGAGATCCTCAATACCAAAGCTAGTGCTAAAACTATTGTATAAGCTCGTACTAAAGGATGACACTAGCTCTACACTCTCTAATGGGGTAATGGAGTCGGCTGCCTTCCCTTTAAGACAGTGTCTCATTCTATACGAAGCATTATTAAAGAATCATTACACCTTACCTCCATCATTAAGAAATACTCAGAAGACAACAGATGACTGCTTTAAGGTTACTATTGCACAACTTTAACCACACATTCACACGCACACGTACATTCAATGTATGTGTACACATGACTGGCTAAGGGAATATCCATTATTTCACATAAGGTTGAACCACACACATGCATTGTCTTAAAGATGTACCCAACACACAATATCAGAATGATTATCATTATTATCATTATTATTATTATTATTATTATTACTATAAAATTTCTATTATTATACACATGCATAGTAGGTACTACATTGTTTTGTCATATTTACTGGCAAGCAATATTTCATTTTTCTGGCTCACACACACAAGACAAAGAGCCCATTGTTGTAACAGGTTTATGCATCATTGCTAACAGTATAGATGGGCTATAGTTGGATTACTGTTAAACACACGAAATAGGTTTATCTATGCATGCATGTACATATGCACACGAAATCTAATCTTCAAGATTTAATATTATTATAATTTAATTATGCAGCCATATCTAACCAGCACTATTATAGTTCTGCTAATTTTAAGGATGAATAAGTTATCATAATCTGATTCATCACATGCATATATATATATATATATATATATATACAAGTAAGAGTAGATCATCTACTCTTGATACAAGTGTACTGAGAGCAAGAATAATAGGAATGTTGCTAGCATTCTTACATGCATGTGGAGTGCTTTGTTGTATGTGAGTTGAGCATTGTTCCTATGAATATCAACATTGGCATTAACAAGTGATGTACATGTACATGATCTCAATATTGGACTACAATTTCATTATCATTTATTATCATACTAGGTCAGCTATTTGGAACTTCCACTAATTCGAATCAAATCGTAAGCATAAGCTGTCAGTAAGTGACGATCAAAGCAAGAGAATTATAGAATTAACTGTTAGTGAACATAATAATGTAACTTTTAAATAAAGGAAGTGATAGACAAAATGAGAGGGAGGGAAAGTGATAGATAGTAACTGACATTAACAAGAACCATCAAACACACAAACAATAATAACACCTTTATTATTAATAATAGTAATAATAATTTATAACTGTGTAATAATAATATCGATAATCTATAATCTGTACAATATTAGCATTTACAGCCACCTCCTCCTCTTCCTCCTCCTTCGTTGTTGTTGTTGCTTGATTTTTTGTTTGCCGACCCTCTTGCTACGTAGAAGCTATCCGTCTTCTTTCCTCCCGCAGGGTCTTTCTCTCGAGCGACTCTCTCGTCTATAATCTCTTTAGCTAGACTGGTAAATATCTCTGTAATGTTCATATTGCTCTTGGCACTAGCTTCCACTAGTCTCATATCATGAAGCTCTGCATATCTCTGATTAGAGAGGGAGAGAAAGAGGGGGAGATTGAGTAATAGATATGATGAGGAAATTCATTATGTTTACAATGTATGTTGAGTGCTGTTTGTTTATAACACAACTGGTCTGGTTATTTACAAAACACAAATTCTAGGCCACCTTTCTCTCTCCCTCTCTTTTGTTTCTAAATACTTGATACATAGATCAGTTCCAATTTGAATTCTTTACATGCACACAGTATGATATTAGGAGGTAAAAATTATCATAATTATAATTTTAAAAAACTAAAACTACTATATAATTCACATTTGTAAACACAGAGCAAAAATCAAAAGTATAATATCTAATTTTAGAGAATGTGTCAGCTTAATTGGATATGTTCATGATTATGCAGCGTGTCAATATATTGCAAACTAATAGAGTAAATTTGGGTAAAGAAAACCAAGACATGGTGCAAGAATAACATTAATACTGGCAAAAGCATCACAGAAATGAAAGTAATGAGCATACAAAGTCTGCCTAATTAGTCACTGGTCACTCATATTGCTTTATCCAAGACTAATGCACACACACAAGTAGTACTTGCTAAGAATCTCTCCTTAAAACAGGGATCAATCTTTGTTTATGTGTTTGTTTGCCAGATTTATCAATGCAATAGACAACAAGTCTGTGCAATACTCCCCTAATGTCAGTTCCTCATTCTTTCCATTACTACGTAATACAATTACAATAATGACAAAGGCTTATATACTTTCAGTACACTAACTGTACATGTACATCTGTGAGACTAGACCTCCAAAATGATTTTAAAAACATTAATTCTGCCATAGCAGTTATACCAGGACTGAATGCTGTGAGATTGTTACAACAGAGAACAAGGGAAAATCATATGAATGACTATGATTATTAGACAATGCAAAGCCTTTGATTACTACATACAGACAATGCCTACCCAGACTCATCACAGTGACACACAGACATACCACTTAATACATGTACTACATCACATACTGAGAGGAGTAAAGCTGTGAATAATTTGTATGACCTAGCTTATATTGAGTATTGAATCATGTATAGTCAGTTGAGGGATTAGCCAATATGAAAATGCTATAGTAAGGCATCATGAAGGATAGTAAACAAATTGAAACCTCATTAAACACAATAATGTTGTAATCAGTACATGCTATATATGGAGTAAAGGATGTAAATACAGTCTAGGGCCTCTCCTAATGGATACTCTTTATAGTAGACACCTAGTGTGTACCAATTGCATTCCTTACTGTATAAAATAACCTCCACACAAAAGATATATCTGTATAATGATTAAATTATAATCTTAGTCACCTTAACTTGCGTCATATCTACTTCAGGACTAAGATCAGCTTTGTTCCCTACTAGTACTTTGATAGCTTCAGGACAGCCACTAATAATGAAATTGAAACAATATCAATAAAACAATATACCACTCCCTCCCTCCCTCCCTCTTTCATCCCTCCCTCCCTCTTTTTTTATCCCCCCTCTTCTTTCATCCCTCCCTCATTCCCTATCTCGTTCCCTCTTAATATCACTTCCTTTAGCTTGTTTCCCTCACCCTCTCTGTTTATTTTCAAAGTTTTGCATTCAATATTGCCAATATAAAATATACTTAAATGTACATGTATATCCTACGCTTGGCTTCACTATACATGTACATTATTATTACGTCTCTTGTATATATAAATGATACCAATAATAATTAATCACAAAATGCCCTCATAATTATCCATCATGTATCTAATCAAGCCTACATCCTGTACCTAACACATTACATCATTACCATATAATTACTATAATGGCTTGTTGGGTAATGACTGTGCAAGTTTATATCCTCTTAACAATCTGACATTATGTCACTGATAAAAACATGATGGTGCAATAGGGTGTACTAATGTATCACATTACATTTCTGAACGCTCTATATCCCCTTAATCCACCTTAAAGTGGTTTGAAACCGGTTTAGACATAAACCAGTTTAGTGTGGGCAATTTCATTGTGGTTTGAAACCTTGACATCACCTCAAGTAGGTGGTTAGAGATAATCAAACCCGTTTAAGTACTGAAGCTGTAGCATTATGTGAGTATCAAACAGACGGATAACTTATGCCTTTACCTTTCTTGTGCCTCTACAGCATTCATCCAAACTGATACTACGTTAGTAAATGATCGAGGTCTCGTCATGTCAAATACAAATATGACGCCGTCTGCTTTTCTGTAATAGACTGCAGATATTGACATGTACTTCTCAGAGCCAGCTGTATCCCATATCTTCACCTGTTAATAATGATAGTATCATAATGAATCATTCAGCAATTGCTTAAGGAAGAGCATACATGCACATGTGCTGGCCATTATGTCATTAAACCTACTTGCACAATAACATTATTATGGTGTCGTGATTGCAATATTACATTATTAAATTATATTATCAATTGAAAGGGGTAAGCTTCATTATTATTATTGATTTGGGAAAACTTGTAGCAATGTATCACAACAGACTGTGTGTGCGTGTGTGTGCTTGCATGATCAGTATTGACTGATTGGGTAATAATGTTGAAAACACAGCTGGAGCTGCTCTTGTGAAATGAGCTTTACCCTCCCAAATATATACAGTTAATTTTCAATGATAATGACATCAATTAGGGATATGCCCACAATTCACATCTCAATTGTGACTTAATTGTCAAGCAGTTGTCAATAAATTGTCAATTCTTATTATATTAAGAATTAATGTATAGCCACTCCATCATTATTTTTGGGAAGTGAACATCGCAAAACTTCAAAAGTATATTCAAAGACCATGACCATTGCTCTCTGTGCTACAATTTCAATATATACTCTTATTACGCTGAAAGTTTGAGGAGGGTGACTACAGTGAGCTAAACAGCTTCATGAGCTGACAACTAGGCACCACAAGGCTTTTGGAGAAACTTTTAAAATTCGTAAAAAATCCAATTTTGATTGGAATCAGCTCAAACTTTCTACGCAACTTAAGTACATGTATATGCATCAGATAAAATTATAAAAACGAAGAATTCTCACTTTTTCATTTTTGGCAAAATTTGGCTAACAGGGACTTTGGCCCAATTTTGGAGAAACTTTAAAAATTCGTTAAAAATCCAATTTTGATCGGAATCAGCTTAAACTTTCTACGCAACTTAAGTACATGTATATGCATCAGATAAAATTATAAAAACGGAGAATTCTCACTTTTTCATTTTTGGCAAAATTTGGCAAACGACACTGTACTATAGTACAGGGATTTTGGCCCAATCTTTGAGAAACTTTAAAAATTCGTTAAAAATCCGATTTTGATCAGAATAAGCTCAAACTTTCTACACAACTTAAGTACATGTATATGCATCAGATAAAATTATAAAAATGGAGAATTCTCCCTTTTTCATTTTTGGCAAAATTTGGCCAAAGACACTGTACTATAGTACATGGACTTTGGCCCAATTTTGGAGAAACTTTTAAAATTCGTAAAAAATCCAATTTCGATTGGAATTAGCCCAAACTTTTTACGCAACTTAAGTACATGTATATGCATCAGAAAAGTATAAAAGTGAAGAATTCTCTCCCTTTCATTTTTGGCAAAATTTGGCAAATGACTCTGTACTGTATGTATAGTATAGGGACTTTGGCCCAAATTTTGGAGAAAAATTTGTAAAAAATCTAATTTTGATTAGAATCAGCTCAAACTTTCTACATAACATAAGTAGATGCATCATAAAAATTATAAAAGTGGAAAATTCTAATAATACAGATACAATCTACTGACAATATGCTGATCAGTATGCCAAATCCTGTGGAAAAATCTTACCAAATTTTTGAAAAAAATCATGAACTACAGCCCACATTTCTTCCCATAAAATGGCTACAAAATCATCACCTCTCAAATTTTTATTACATTTTCTGATACAAATTGAAAATTCAAGTTGGTTCCGATCACAAACAATTGAGTTATACTCTAGCATTACATGTTAAGCACTCTCCCTCCCTCCCTCTCAATGTGTCACATGATCATAAAACAATAATCGAGTATTGTTCCAATATGTTAACACAGCTGTTGATTATATAAATTAATAACTAATAATAATATTTATTTTACTGGATGAGTTGTCTTTTTTCTATTAATGAAACTGAAACTATAGCAGTCATGCCAACATACACTGGACCATTTTCACTCACTTCCATTTTAGCTACATACTGCACATACCAAATTAATGACAGTAGAGTAATGGTAATATGGAGAATGATTATTAAGTAATTAAATGAAGTAAAATTAATAATAACAGGTGATTTCTATAACTTAATACATTAGTATATTGATGGATTACCTTGATTTTCTTTCCACTGACATCAATTTCACTCAAATAAAAGTCAACGCCGATCGTGGTGTCCATGTCATGCGTGTAGGTTCCCTCACAGAATCTTCTAATGATGCTGGATTTACCGACACCATTATCACCGACCAGTATTATCTTGAATATGTGATCATATGATACACTCTCTGAAGCCATTATAATAGCACTGTAAGAGAAAAAGTAATAATATAGCGATCAACTAATCAAAGATAAAAATAATTAAAATTAACAATATATATATATATATTTTCTATCATGCCTACTTGTAATTGACCAATCAGATTACAGAATACCAGGTTTCTAAATCTATTAGATACCTCCCGGGAACACTTATTAACCTCCCGGGAACACTTATTAACCTCTTGGTTTATTAAATAAAACAAGCGAAACCTGGCACTCTACGCTTATGCTCTTATTAGTCCATTTGTCAAGCTTGGTTGATTCCTTACTGCCTAGCTAGCCTGTTAGATATGTTGTATGTATGTCAACTGTGGTCTTATTATCGGCAGCTGGTAGTTGTTTTCAAATGTCATGGTAGAAGTTGGTTATACACCTCGGTATCGGTTTCTATAAAGGCGGATTTACAATATTACGCTAGTCCTGACGTTACGTTGACGCTGGAATAGAATCTGGTTCTATTCCAGCGGAAAGCATGCGTCAAAGGTCAAATCGCCCACGCTTTTGATTAAAAATTGACGGTACGCTGGCCTAATGTCATATTGTAAATCCGCCTTAAGTCGCTCGGTTAATAAATACCATAGAAACCTCTACCTCGGTGTACAACCTATACATATTGAAATGTACTATTTTAGCCAGTTTCACTTCTATACAGAGCCAGAATTAATATCAATAGCTACTGCTGATAGCTTCACTGCGTGTGTGTGTGTGTGTGTGTGTATGCAATTGCTTGCATGCTATTTCTGTCCAACACCTAATTCACTCCATCTGTGAAGGAGACTACATACTTCTCTCTTTTGCTTATCAGAACAGTCACTAATAACTCATTGATGCCATACACAAACCACACACACTCAATTGCATATAATGGAAGAGCTATTGTTGTCCTTTATATAATGAATGCATGTATAAGGATACATACAGACTGGACCATTGATGACTGAATGTGTACATGTACATTGATCGGGTAATCATAAACCACATAGTCTATAATAAATTTCTTATCATCGACTAATAGCAGAACTATGTAGCATTGTCATAATGCTAAACATGGAAATTATCTTTGCCAAAATTTAAACTTAAAAAAAAATATCAACAAATGCAACCATCTTTAACACAAACTAGTATTAGGAACAACTGTATTTGAATAAAACACTATGCACTGGCAATAGCAACAGTAATAATAATGATGACCTTGCTCTCTCCATGTATTGATAGATAATGCTGATATGACAATACACTATTGACATTGTCATGTTCGTTATTGCTGACGGTATATTTAGAATACTACTCAATCTCACTATACATGGCATGCTGCATGTACTAAATTATTTAATTATTATATAAAGACACATTCCCTTTGTATCATTAACAACGTAGTGTAGTAACAGTTGGTCTAATAATCATACAATCCTTGTGATATCTCTACTGTAATTTTTCTCAGAAAAAAATATTTGTTTTGTGGAGTAGCTGATCTACTTATCAAAACCCACTTACAGTATTGTTTCACTTTCAATTCTAAAGGTTAAAAATAGCCTGCCCTCATACTTAGAAATCATGAGTTCTATTTTACAACCTCCTTATTATTACTTGTATTACATCACATTGACACTAAAATTAGATCTAGTAGTGAATTTTTTATCCAATTATTAAGCAAAATGGAGCCATAATATGCATGGCCTTCACGACCCCCACCAATGGGATACTGGAGTACAATACGGCTAATATACTCACCTGTAAATGGAACTAAGGAGCCTGATTCCCTACCTGGCCCTTTCCTATTTTACAAGAATGAGGGAGAGAGTGCGATGAGAAGGTACAAGAGTAAGCCCCTTGTCTAACGAGGCGATCCAGATAAATGATATTCACGAGGAGCAATCTTTGGGTGGGGCTCATTTAGGTGGGTGTCCATTTTGAACTGTTTTCAATTCAGTAGGAGAGAGTGTGTGCTTTTTATGCACAATCATGGGCTGTGTCTGTTGCAAATGTTGCTGTGGAGGAGAGACGTATGACTTTGCTGATAGGAGCACGTCAGGAGTTGGGGGAGAGTGGAGAGTTAGAGGTCAACACGTTGTTAGGTGAGTTTTAGAGAGTGGGATGTGTCTGTATCACTCGTTTACATAACGTGCTTTTATGTGAACTTAGATTGTTAGCTCAAGTTCTCGAGCTGGTCAGCATTCTTGGAGACAATGAAGACGGAGTGCCTCTTAGGACAGCACCAGTAAGAACAAAGCAACTGAGTATCCATCTTCATACCCTGCGCATCATTATTATTATCATTATCATTACTGTAGGCTGATGACTCATCTAGTGATGATAGCAGTAAAGCCAGTGAGATATCAGACGATGAGTTCAATTGGGTGTGGAATCCAATCTGTGACTGCCTTGTACATGTTAACGTCGCATGCCTTCAAGTAAGTTATTATTTTACAATGACGCCGACACATATAATTATCATACTCATGTGTACAGGAAGGAGAAGTCTATGAGTATGCAGTGTATGCTGAAGAGAAAGAGCTATGCCCCTTTAGCTCTAATATCACAATTCCAGGTTTGATTATATTCACCAGAGTCTTGTAAGGAATACTTGTTGTGTTGCATTAATAATAGGTACTGATATTAAAAGGACGGGACCATTTTTTGTACAATGGAAAGACATTTATACAGGAAAGGTCTACGGGCTTAACTTTTTCACAGAATCGGAAGCATTGAGATTTGTCTCTAGTTGTTTTGTAAGTTATAATTATAAAAATATAATTGCAAATATTAATGCGTATTTTATTTTATAATGTAGCCTCCTAATTTTACTCCTGATACTTGCATTCGTCACACTTCATCTCGTCTCACGTACATATGCCCTCCTCCTCCTCCTGCTATCAGTCAGCGTCCTCAAGGAGAGCAGAATCGTGATCACATGAGACCTAATTATGGTTTTGATTATCTTGCAATGACTTCAACGCCAATTCCTAATGTAGAGGAAGAGGGAGAAATGGAAGCATACTTTAAGCTGCCTACGCATCGGCCGGTCCATGCTGTTAGTCCTACTGTTAATAGTGCTGAAATACCATCGGGTGTTCTCCCTTTGCCACACTCAAGTTCTGTATTGTCTGATGAAAGTTTTGATGGGCCGAATAATGGCTCGCCTTCTTCATTGCCATCACCTCCTAGTCTGTTCATGATGGCTGATAAAAAGATGGAGGAGACTGAGTCTACTGATAATGATACTTCTAATACTTCTAGTGTTGATCATGAGTTGTTCCAACCGACTGAGCCTCTTCAAGTGAACAAGATACTTGAAGATATAAAAGAGGAGGAGGATGAGGAAGAAGGATCAATGAAATCATCAAACACCACCGATCAACTTCGAGATTCAAGTGTTGAAGTGCCACAAGTAGTCCTTGACAAGTGCTTAGCTGATTTTGATGATTTTCTCAAGGATATCAGAAAATCTCAGTTGATTGAAATCACAGAGCGTGAGGCTCGATTGTCCAGACAGTCTAGTTTCACTGCTGGCCCTCCTCCCCTGCTGCCTCCTACACCTCCTCCTGGGCCAACTCTATCGCCTAAACACAACACCAATAACCCATTCCTTAGTCCAAGCTTTCAGAGTGCATTAAAGAGAATGTCAAGCAGCAGTTTTGATGATATCCCAGCTCCAACTTTACACCAGCAAAGAAGTACTGAAGACACTAATCGTGACTCCCTCCCACCGCCTCTCGCTAGGCGAGACAGCGAAGACTTTGAAATGAATCGACAAAATTCACTGAATAACAACTACCTTCAGCCACCTGATGCTTTCAGCTCTGATAGTGGTCTACCATTCTCCTCTGACAATGAGTTATACTCTCAAGCTGACACTGAAAACAAGAGACACCACTTCATAGCAAATGCAAGGGAAGCAGATACAAGCAGCCAGGTATATAATGGAAATAAACTATTTATCTAATTTTATATTATAATCTTAGCAATCTGAGACAACTGAGAGTGCCGGAATACCAAACTATACAGGTACCTATCCACCAGAAGGTGCTGTAGCTGCTTCAATGGAATGGAAGAAAACAGACTCTATCAAGAAAGCAGGGTAAGTATATACAAAAGATTATATTCACATAACTTTTTTAATATTATTATTTTAGATGGCTTGAAGTCAAAGGTGTACTAGTGAGGAAGAATCGAAAGGTTGCCATGAAATCAACAAGAAGATGGAAAAGTCATTGGGGTAATAATAATTGCATGCAAAGTCCTTCACTTAATTATTATTTTAAATTACATTGACAGCTGTATTGAAAGGAAAGTATATCTTTCTCCATCGCTGGGATCAAGGCCCTTTTGGCACTAATAATGAAACACAGCTAGATATGAAGATTGGTCAGTGCAGACTGAGTGCATATGTCACTATCAGTATTTGTATGTATAGACATTTCACAGAGTCTTGCTCATCCAGTCCATGATCACATGAAAAGAGATCACTTGTTCTGCCTAAGCACTTGCAGTGGCAATACATACTACATGCAGGTCTGTAGGCTCTAATAGTACTACTGGTATTAGCATTAATTATAGGCTGTGAATCAAGCTGCTGTTGATGAATGGATCCATTCTGTTCATTCAGGTAAGAGATATTAGTTTAAATTGATCCTGTATCATGATTGTTTTCAGCTGCTGCATTCGACTTTACTGACCAATTGGATAGAGAAGTCTCTATTAAATTTTTAAATACTGTAATCCTAGAAAATGAAGAAGCTTTAGAAAAAGTGAATATTTATGGCGTTTAAGTTATAGTTTGTAATCATTGTATTTTATAGGAGAAGCAAATGAAAAATTTAGCAGAACTTCAATCTACAACAGTTACTGATAATGCCAGCAGATCAAAAATTAATAAACAAGTATGACAGATTTATTGCTTTAAAACTGTTTATTTCACCACTGCACAGATTGCAATATTCAATGAGAACATTGAAAATTATCAAATGATCATTTACAGGTAATAATTATCATACATAACTTGATTATCAATTGATTTTTTGTCATACTTAGAAACCGGTGCTATCTTGCATCACTGCAATGCACTGAGCTTCCTAATCCTCAGGTATGCAAATAATAATAATAATAACAACTGGTTATTTATGCTCCTTTAGCCACTGCTTTCAAGTGTATCAAAGTCTACTAAGATGAACCTTACAAAAGTCGGCAATTTTTCAGTAGCATCTCTCCATGCAGTGGTATGTGAAAAAATACTCTGTATTCTGTCATTAACAGTGATTGATAGGTAAATGTAAGACTGTCTACTGCTAAATCATCCACTGGGGCCAGTGCAATGCAGAGCCCAACACTCTCTCCAGCTAGCACAATTGCAGTATGAAACTCCCATTTAATACACACTTTGTGATACTAAACTTTCTCTAGACATCAACTGAAAAGAAAAAGAAGAGGCATTTCACATTCTTTGGCAGAAAGGGAGACAGCAAAGCCAAAAGGTAATAGGAATTCTATTTATTACACTTTTGCATGTAGTGAGTATAGGAAGCTCTTCAGCTCACCGAATATATCTGAGCCGCTACCAGGAACAGTAGGATCACAGTTACTAACATACAGACAACTATTGGAGCCTAATCCTTTAGCTACTGGATTCGGTGCAACTCTGATGATCACAATATTACAAGATAAAGTGAGCCTGTTATTATATTTAACTAAAGGCCATTTGTAATTTTATTTTAATTTAGGTTTGTGCTGTTCCTTTTCGTTTGGATCTAACAGTTGATGACATTCTCTTAACATGTTGCAAAGTAAATCATTTCTAAACACTGTGCCATGTAATGTACATAAAATTTAACAGAAATTTGGTCTTGATCCGGCAGATCATTTCTTAAAGCTGACAACTCCGGAAGGAGAAGAGCAAGGTAGCAATAATTGTATTGTAATTGTATTATATTATTATTATTATTATTGTTTACTAGTACCTCATGAAGATGAATTTATCGTGAACCTGGTAAGCTATTATACCACATGCAATTAATGTAATGATAATATTCACACTTTAAAATAGGCTTTTAACAATTTGGAAGTAGCACAAAAATTTATAATCACTGTCCAATTTGACACGTCACCTGACAATATTGGTAATTAATCATTATCATTTTATTCTCATTATTGATACATCATATTGTATTGTATTGTAGGTCTTACATTGCAACCTGATTTAAGGAATCTTGGCTCAGTGACGCATGTCATTATAGAATCCGTAGCTCCCAATAGTGAAGCCCAAAGACTAGGTATGGCACGTACCAGCAATGTACACTAAGATACCATGCACATACTAATAGGATTGAGTAAAGGAGATGAAGTTGTTTTAATTGACGATCAGACAGTGGCTCACATGTCATGGAATGAAGTACTATCAGCAGTTGAAGGTATCCTATATCAGTAGTCAAGCTATTGATAAATAGATCTATTCTATTAAGAGTCAAACTTTACACTGACTGTTCGTACGAGACATTATAAAGCTCCTGTAGGCGTTGCTGGACGCACTACTCTACTACACCTCAATGATCTTGTCTGTCCTTCTCCTCCAACGCAGGAAAAGAAGATGAAGCTAGATGATTTGATTGTTCCCCTACCAAGCAGTGAGTCAATCAGGCAAGTATGAGCATATACCGATACTTGATATCTTTTAGCTGAGGACTTGCATAAACTTGGAGGGAGTTCCGGTAGTCTGACAGCAAGTGAGTCAGAGGACAATTTGGAGCCAGATGAAGACAGAGTACTTCAACTGATTAAAGTTTGTCTACATTTATAACTTGCCTTATATTTCTCATCTCATTTAGGGCTCGTTAGAGGTAACTGGCCTCCTTGATAGGTGGAAGGCATACGAGGAGGCTGAAACTCAAGAAACTGACGATGAAGTTCCCAGTCCACCAATGAGCCCACAGCAGAAAATGTTCAAATGTGTTAGAGAAATTGTTGAAAGTGAGAAGGAGCATGTGAAGGTAAATACAAAGGGTGTAAAAAAATTTCATGAGTTAGTGTGTATATACTTATATACAGGCATTAGATTTGCTTGTGGATCGATATTTGGAGCCTATGAAATATGAGCTGTTTCTTCCTCGGGATAAAATTAGTTTTATATATGACAGTGTCCTCAGTGTAGTCATTCAACAGAAGCAGTTCTTTGGAAGAATTGAAGTAATTCATTTATTTATTGACTATTGTAGCATTAGTTTCTTTAAATGCAGGAACTACCTGACAAGTCTCCTGATGACCCAGAGAATGTTAAGGTTAATGTTAAGGTTAAGTCCCTGTACTAAAGTACAGGGACTGGGCTGATTTTGGAGTAACTTTTAAAATTTTTAAAAAATTCGATTTTGATCGGAATCAGCTTAAACTTTCTACACAACATAAGTACATGTATATGTATCAGAAAAAAATTATAAAAGTGGAGAATTCTCTCTTTTTCATTTTTGACAAAATTTGGCCAACAACCCTGTACTACAGTACAGGGACTTTGGCCTGATTTTGGAGTAACTTTTAAAATTTGTAAAAAATTCAATTTTGATCGGAATCAGCTTAAACTTTCTACAAGACATAAATACATGTATTTGTATCAGAAAAAATTATAAAAGTGGGAAATTCTCTCTTTTTCATTTTTGACAAAATTTGGTCAACAACCCTGTACTATATAGTACAGGGACTTTTAGCTTCTAGCCATTTTTGATGACAACTGATCATCCATCTACTACTATACATTGCATTTATAATGTATTAAGAAATTTATAGTCACTATTTATACCTACAGATTCTTGTTAAAGAACTATCAGATGCATTCATGAATCACTTGGATACATTTAGACAGTACAGCCAATTCTGTGCAGCGCAGCATGAGCTTGAGTACATTCTCAGTAAGAATGGCAGCATCACTAAACTATAATGCGTGATGTATTTGTTTTAGTTAATGTTACTAATCGTCAGGAAATGGAAGAGTTTCTTGAGGTCAGGAACCCAAAACAAAGCCCATCGCTTACACTCACAGCATTATTGATCAAACCAGTATTGGTGAGTGGTGGTGCACGACTACTCTGTATAATAAACACACTACACATCTATGAATAAAAACATTACAATACTTTAATTTATAGCGTCTTCTTCGATATCCTTTGTTCCTACAAGCACTTAAAGACATGTCTGATAAAGACTCGGAAGAGCATCAAATTTTAAAAGGTTTTGCCATCAATCAAAAATTGAAATTACAATGATGATGAATGTTTTAATATAATTAGATACACTAACATCTGTTTCAATGGTTACTGAGTACATTAATGAAGTGAAAAGAGTTACTGAGTCGTACGCTAATGTATTTGATACAATACTAGAAGTATCAGGGCTAGTAGAGGTCAGTTACTTAGTAGCATAATAGAGATAACTATTTCATGGACATTATTCCTTTAAATACTTGTACTAGTTTGGTATCAGTGTCCGTGTCAGTGAGTTATTGAGTCACATGACAGTCATGTGGTTGAATGCACCTGGTACAATGGGACGTGGTTGGAGGAAGGGACAAGGACCAGAGATGCAATGTTTCGGTAAAAACCAAGTGAATCAAAGTCCTTGTATTATATATACATTGTTTAGTGTTCAACAGTAATGTAATGTTACTGTGTATTGAGCAGACAGTAAAGCGTCGTCCCAGCAAGGTATTATAATAATAAATACATACTATGAATTAGTTAATGTATCTTTATATAGGCTAGTCTAACACAGCAATCAATATCATTTGATGACATTAGTCATAGAGCACTTTTACCTTTAGCTCAATGCAAAGTGAATGACCTGCCTGACTCTGATGGTACATATGTACAGTGTATGCATGAATATTGTTTATTGTTATTTATTATTAATAGGAGTGTCATCAATGTGGCAGATAGTGCAGAAAGGACGTCAAGTTGCCAGTCAAACAATAACATACACACTGAGAAGCAAGTGAGTCATTCTAACAAATTTGTCAAGTGCATAAAAATTCTTTGTGATATTCAGGTCACCAGAAGAGAAATCAGTTGCAATACAAATATTGCAAGAATCAATTACAGCTCAGTTAGCTCTTTATACTAATATTAGTGGCAGTTTGAGTCCAGTCAAGCAACATATGTCTAAAGTTTTGGTATCACATGATGTGACCAGACCATCTCCTCTTAGACCACCTAAACTAAGCAAGACATCAATTAATGACTCAATAGACTCTGAGTATGAATTAACATTGTTGTAATCAGTGGCGGATCTGGGCCCGGGCCTAGACGGGCCATGGCCCGGGCATCAGAAGTCAGTAATGAGATTCATTAGATGCAATGTAAACAATTCCCTGCCTCAAGTTTTGATAAAGCAAACCACAAGCCACACCAGAGTACTTACAGGAGATTGCATAATCCTTGCAACAAGGGTTTTAGTTGGTTTATTTTGTTAAGTGGGTGATTTATTATTGAGGATAACAATTAAGTAGCTGTTACTCCCTTATAAGGAAGGTAAGGAAGATTTCCAATTCTACTCTTGTTGCAAAGATAGTGCAATCTCCTGTACAAGTGCTTGAAGAGCATTATAAGCACTGCATAGATAAGGAAATTGTTGAAACCCATCATAAAAATGGCCAACCATAAAATGACTGGTTGAAAAGTGGACACACCCACTTCCTGGCCCTACCATCAACTTGCACCCAGATCCGCCACTGGTTGTAATGCATTTGACTGCTTTTGTTATTCTTGAGGTGATATTTGATAATCAACAAAGTGCAACACTGCTTGATTACTTAAACTAATAACAATGCTGGACATATCATTTAACACCTTAAAATGACACATTTGTAAATAAACAGGATACCAATAAAAAATTAATTATCTCACTAAAAATATGACAAAAATTAGCAAATTAAAATTTAATGAATAATAAATGTTTTATTGTACAGCGCCAGCTGTTACTTTAGACCCAGCAAAATGTTCAAATTGTTTAAAGAAGTTGCTGAAAATATTCCTCAAAGATTTTACTTGTGATAAAATACTTTTGCAGTAAGATTCAATCAACTCTAATGGTTGAACACTTTTTAAAGGAGCTAAAGTAACAACTTTTTTGTATTCTTGGGCAACATAACCTTTAGAAAGAATTTTATGGGCTTCCAAATGACCCGTTTGCTCTGCTATTGCTTGTGGTGTTCTGCCATCGTTGTCCTCCTTAAGAATGGCTCCATGCTCAAGGAGAAGAGTTAGCGTTTCAAGATGCCCCACCGCAGCAGCAAAAAAGATAGGTGTCCAACCACAAATATTTTCTCCTAATTCAGTGTTAGCCCCAGCCTTGAGTAAAATTTCAACTGCCTTGCTGTGACCAAGTGAAGAAGCAAAGGACAAAGGAGTACGACCATTTACATCTAGCACATTGATGTTAATTTTATCAGCACTTAGCAATGTTTCTATTATTGCTATCTCATTCATACAGCATGCTAAATGCAACGGTGTGAGTTTGTAAGTCTTTTCAACAGCATTAGGATTGGCACCAGCAGCCAAAATCAATCGAATAATTTCAGCATTAATTTTGCCACAAAAAGCTGTATGCAATGGTGTGTCTCCAGTTAATGTGCATAAATTGGGATTGGCTCCATTTTCAAGCAAACGCTGAACCATTTCTTTATTTCCATTGAAGCATGCTTTATGCATTGGTGTCATGCCAGCAGCATCTTTAATATTAACGTTAGCTTTAGCATTTAGCAAAAGAAACATCATTTGAACATCATCATCAACACTAGCTATAAGAAGAGCAGTTGCTTGACCTGTAGTGCTGTCAGTTTGTGTATCAACTAAAGCGCTTGATTGAAGTAAGAGCTTCACTATTTTGTAGTATTTGTAGTAAGTAGCTGTTATGAGAGGAGTAGTTCCATCTTGTAACGAGATGTTTGGGTCTGCATTACAGTTAAGTAGTTGCTTAACTAATTCTTGATGACCCAAGTAGCAGGCTAGATGCAAAGCTGTCAAACCATTTTTTACTTTCAAATTTGTGTTTGCTTTAGCTTTAAGTAATCTTTCAACAATGAAAGTGTAGCCATGTTGACAAGCATACAGTAATGCTGTAAACCCATTGATATCCTGAAAATCTATCATTACTCTATCTTGATAACGATCCATGAGCACAGCGAAAATTTCCTCCTGATTGGTCATAGCTACTGCCATAAGTGGTGTGATTCCTATTATAGGATTGTGAAGGTTAGGAGGTACACCTAAATCAAGCAAGATTTCGGCAGCTTCTTTTCTGCCATCCACTATAGCAAAGTGAATTGCTGAGCTAGGAGGATGACTTTCAGAAAACAATTCTAAATCTGCCTTATACTCAGCCAGTAGAGATATAGCTGCTACATTATTGTAGCTAGCTGCCATCATTAATGGAGTTAGGCCAGCAAGACCTTCAGCATTGATTTTGGTTCCAATGTCTAACAGAAACCTTATCAAATCAAGATTGCAATGCTTATTAATAGCCTCACATAATCCAAGTTCAAAAGTAAAACTGAGGCATGGAAAAACGGGCAATGCTTCAAAATATAAGCTCCCCACTTGTATGCTCAAAACACCGAGGTATAATAGTTCTTTGCATTTCCGACTAGATTTACAAAGAAGTGAAAGCATTTCTGATTTAGGAGCTAATGCACGAACAATTACTGATCCCTCTATAATTTTTATCCTGGTGAAAATCGATCTTTTTCCACCAAAAAGATATTTGAGTAGCCTTTGCAAATTTTCAATGGTTATTTTTAACCATTCACCTTCTAATTTCAACATTACTAGACATTCTAGACATTGATCAGGAGATGGATCATCAATCGCTGGTTTAGCTGCCTTTTCCATTGCTACCTTAAACTCTCGCACTGTAGTAGATTTCTGCCATTTGTTCAAGGCCTTTTTATATTCATGCATGCTTTCTTTCAAATCCTTTTCGACAAATTCGCATGCTATCTCTTTCAATATTTCATAGTTCATAAAGCAGTAATGTCCCTGTAGACTAATAAATAGTTGAATGATATTTTCAGGATCACGTCGTGGTGTAAATGTGTCTTGAAGATAATTAACAACAAATCGATAGATCTTTTGAAAATTTCCTAAATTTTCTAAGGCTTCTTGTATCTTTGTGACAAAGCGAGCAAACTTTTTTTGCATTTCTTTGAGAGAATCAGCCAGCTTTTCTTGATGTGTAATGCTTATCTCCTTCAATGGCGGTTTTGGAAACTGTACTTTTGACCTTATTTTTGCGATAAAATCTTTAACTAAATACCTCTCATTAGGTATTTTTTCCAGTGCATCTAACACTTCGTAATATTTTGGATCTGCATCATTTTCTAACCAGTAACGTAGAATTTCAGTCACTCTACGGTCAATATTTCTAGGATGCTCCTCTTCCAGTTTACGTAGCACATTTTGAGGAACGTTGAGGAGAGTGCCAAATCTATGCCATTCCACCAACCCATCCACCATTGGAATTAGATGCTGCAATCCCAGACGTTCTGGTGATTCGAGCTCATAATCACTACGATAGTAATGGTGCAAAGTAGATAGATCTATTGACATGAGTCTCTTTGTAGCTCCAACTCCCAATTTGCTATCTACGAGGTTCACTCAGCTCAGGTCAGGTGATCTGAAATATCGGGCGAGATTGTTGCACTGTCAGCACACATCTAAATCTAATCATGAATAAGATCACCACTCCTCTGCCTCTAAAGATGGCTAACATGGCGGAATCATCACCAATGATGCAAATATTTTTAATAGGATTTCATCATCAGAAAGGATCAACAGTAGAGTACTCTTACCCTCCCATCAATACTACAGACACAGCTTCAGCTAGCCTGACGGAATCACTCCCTCAGCAATGGAGGTCTCTACCCCACATTGCCCTCCCAGATGGCTGCCATAACTACAGAGAAGGACACGTCACATTTACCCTCCCAACTGAAGACGGGGTCGTATATGGTGTCAGTTGCTATCGTCAGATTGACTCAAACGAATTAACATCAGTATCAAGCGATATCACGAGATCAACCGTACAGAAATCAATATGCGTGATATCAAAATGGCCGATATACGACTTCCTCATATCAAAGGTAGAACTAACGATTCATGCGTATTTCAATGCAAAGGATCTCAATGACAGAGAACTACTGATTCACACGTATCATAATCTCAATGCTACACTCACACTTGATTTAGCTCTTCGTGCCTGCTGTCATAATAATAAATTGGCAGGACTGATTGAGCTCTACCAACACAGCATACTTCAATTATTTAAAGCAGTTTTATTAGAGAAGAGGGTTCTTGTATACGGACATAATCCGAGTGATGTTAGTCATCTTGTGACATCGCTCCTCTCCCTTTTCCCTCTTTATTATCAATCCTTGATTGACCAATCATTAGTGAATGAATACGGATTACCATTAAAGACTAAACTTTACGTACAGCCATACCTTCCATTGCAAGAGTTGAGACAGTTATCATCACTTGAGGACGAGAGGGGCATGTTGGTGGGTGTGTCTAATCCGCTGTTTTATAAAAGAGCTAGCGAATTGTGTGACATTTGCTTTGTGATGGAGACTAAAGCAATCGAGATTCACAAGACTAGTTTGTATGCTTCGCTGAACCTCTCAACAGCTGATCTAAGGTTTTGTACATTAATTAAAGAGGGTGTGGCGTCAGGAGATGAAAGAGGAACAAGGGGCAGTGTTCCTTCGGAGAGTGCAACTATTACAAATTGGAATGGAAGTGTAGAATGGATACAAGCCCAATTCAAGTCATACCTACTTTCTTTACTCTCGTCTGTTCGTAATGGCAATCCGGACACACTAAATGACTTTAATTTACATTTTGTTCAAAGTTTCTCAAAGACGTTCTCGTATCGTAAGTGGGTTGAGTCAGTTCCACAAACTGTGGTTCAGCCTGGCCACGTGTGTCAAGGAGATCTTTCCTTTAGTGACATTAAACATCATTTACTTGTTGAAGCAACTGAGCTAGTCGGATCAGACAATGTAGAGAAATTAGTGCGTAAAACAGGTTAGTAGAGAGAGGCTTCTTATCAAATTAATTGTAATGTAAATAAGCACAGTTATTCTATCTGCTCCACTATTAAAGGTACACCTATATCTAACATAATAATATAATTTGTAAAAATGATGAATTTTGTTATTTTATTCATTATGTGTTTTTATTAAAAATTTGAATGCATATTTTTAATTGTAGGTGACTTAAAGAACAGTGTTAGTGAGAAGGTGAGTCATTGGTGGCATTGGAGCTCATCTGCAGTGACTAATCTACTAGGAGCAACTGCAGAATCAGATAGTGATGATTAAGAAGAGACGCAACACTCAATAACATGTTTATTACCAATAATTATCCAAATTATTGTTATAATAATTATTTAGTAAGATCATTATCTTTTCTCAGAGCCCTGCTTTTCTTAATTTTCTATTCTTAATGTGAGTGGGTGGTCATCCGGTCTAAGTCTTGCGGTCTGTGATCTGCTTCTAGAGAAGTGACTCACTGCTGTTTAGTGAACAGTAGTTTGCCAATTTGGTACATCTAGACTATTTTTATCTCCGGTTCTTACTGTGTTCAATCATAATCAAAGGAACTACCGCTGCGCTTCTTAGGAAATTGTTTACTTTCTTGACCTCCAGCCCTCATTTAGTCTCGCCCTCATTAGTCATTGCTAAGTAGACATGGAGGAGACTAGTGTGGAAGTGAAAAGTGTGAGCTTCATTCGCTTCTTTGTCAATGGACATGAGGTATGGGTGCATGCAGTCTAGTATGATGCATGATACTAGATCTAATTAGGCTAAATGCGGAGAAGTTTTGTGGTTATAGTCAGTGCCCCATCTCATTAACAGGTTATTGTACAAGATCCAGATCCTGAAATGACACTGCTGACTTACCTGCATCATCATTGTAAGCCACTTATTTTAAATTTACATTGAATGAATGCATTTATAGTAAGGATAGGCTCAAAGACTGGCCTAACAGGGACAAAGCTTGGTTGCGGTGAGGGTGGCTGTGGAGCTTGTACAGTAATGGTATCTTATTATGACGATTCTAAAGACAAAATAAAGTAACTGCAGAATTATTACTGCTATGGTAAAGACTGATGACATATATTGTATATCATCATGGCAGGCATTACTCAGTCAATGCTTGTTTGGCTCCTTTATGCTCAATGGATGGTCTCTCTGTCATTACAGTCGAGGGCATTGGAAACTCTAAAAAGCTTCATCCGTGCCAAGTAAATGGCATATCTTGTAATTAACTTGTTGAAAAAACAGAAAATATTTTCATTCAATGTGGCTAGCATTGTGTGTATGAGGGACTTTACCAGTATTTCATTTTTCATTTAGGAAAGGATAGCAAAAGCTCATGGCTCCCAGTGTGGTTTCTGTACTCCTGGCTTTGTAATGTCCATGTATACGCTACTAAGAAACAACCCATCCCCAACTCAGGAAGAAATGGAGCATACTTTTGAAGGGAATCTCTGCAGGTGTACTGGCTATAGACCTATACTGGATGGATATAGGACGTTCTGCTCTGATTATTGTCCTTGTAAAGAAGGAGAGAATGGTAACACTGCTGAGGCTCCAAAACTCTTTGATGCAACAAAGTTTATCCCTCTTGATCCAAATCAAGAAGTCATATTTCCTCCAGCACTAAAGGTATGCTGCTTCGGTACTTCTTATAACCTTGTTGGTTTAAATCCATAATAGATTGCAGGCAAGGTTCCACCATTATCTCTGGCAATCAAAGGCCCTAGAGTGTCTTGGTATAGGCCAGTATCATTGCAGGAATTGCTTCAATTGAGGAACACTTTCCCTCATAATAAAAACAAGGATCAACCTCAATACAGACTGCTTATGGGAAACACTGAAATTGGTTAGCACTATCGTTATTATTGTGCCATTTAATTTTAAGTATTATTTTAATAGAGATTGAAAGAAGACAAAAAGGCTGTACATATCCAGTACTAATATGTCCCTCACATGTTCCAGAGCTCTTGGAATTGAAGCTGACAGATGAAGGATTGCTTGTAGGAGGATCAGTAACACTATCTAATCTTAAGGACTTCATTACTACTGCTATCACTCAACTGCCCTCTCACACTACTGGAGTATTGCAAGCTGTACTGAATATGCTCAAGTGGTTTGCTGGAGCTCAAATACGCAATGTATCAGTAAGTGATACTTTTATCTTAATTTGATACTATAAAAACTGTTTATTTATTGGTGTTGCTTATGAACTAATAATGATTGTGATATTTTTTACAGTCTTTTGCTGGGAATATTGTTACAGCTAGTCCTATCTCTGACTTGAATCCTGTATTACTAGCAAGTGGTGCTACATTAAACCTTCAGTCAATTGGTAATTGGCATTATACTGTAGCCTCAATTGTATTCACATTATGTATAGATGGTGAGCGTGTACTGAAAATGGATAGCTCCTTCTTTACTGGTTATCGTTCTACTGTTTTAAAACCAAACGAGATACTGAAATCTGTTGTAATACCCTTTACAGACAAGGTATGTAATGAAGATCTTGCACAATGATTAATACTGTCTTCGTGATATAGACAGACCATGTGTTATCCTTCAAGCAGTCAAGGAGGAGAGAAGATGATATTGCCATTGTCAATTCCTGTATGTTTGTACGTCTCTCTAACAATGATCATAAAACTGTTGAGCACATCAGAATGGCTTTTGGTGGTATGTCATATAAAACTATAACAGCATCAGCAACTGAATCAAAATTAACTGGAAGGTAATGATAGCTCTTATTCATCATGTAAGCTGTCATTACTTGCTAGTAATGACAGCTTACATGTATCATGTATAGCACTGATTCTTTATGTGTAGGAAATGGGACGATAATCTATTGCAGTTATCATTGAATAGTCTAACGGATGAGCTAGTATTGGAACCGACTGTACCTGGTGGTATGCCTGATTATAGACTCAGTCTTGCTCTGTCATTCTTTTACAAGTTCTACCTCACTGTGCTTCAACAGTGTAATCCTCAGCTAGTACCACCACAAGAAACCTCTGCAATAAAAGCATGTGCTTGTTTATTTTTTATCAAACTTGTACTAAAATTTTAGGAGTTTCAGAAAGCTCCAGCCCAAGGGTCGCAAGGTTTTAAACAAATATCCAGTTCAGGGAATAACACTATTGGTCAGCCAAAGATGCATCTATCAGCGATACTTCAGGCAACAGGAGAGGCAGTTTATACTGATGATCTGCCACACTATGAGAATGAGCTATATGCTGGAGTAATACTTAGCACTGAATCACACGCTAGATTTACTATTGATAGCTCTCCACTGGAAGGAATAGTAAATAAAATTAGTTCACTGTATAAATTACCAAGGAATTATTCTGATAGGATGAAGTATATTTTGTTAGTGCTAATGATGTACCAGGCAGTAACGATGGCACTGGCTCTGGTAAAGATGAACAGGTTTTCAGAGTAAACACTGTCACTAGTGTTGGCCAAATCATTGCCATTGTACTAGCAAAAACTAAAGCAATCGCTCAACGCTATGCCAAGGAAGTTAAAGTTAATTACGAGAAATTAGAGCCAGTTCTAAGCATAGAGGTAAAACTTGATAGCTTGAACTCAGTCATAATGTTTCTTTGTAGGACGCAATTAAGAAGCAACAGTTTCATCCAGAAGGAAAACCAGCTCACGTTAAACTCTGGACTGGCAATACAGAATCAGCTCTTTCATTGTCAGAGCATGTGTCTGAGGGAGTAATGAGAACCGGAGGACAGGAGCACTTTTATCTTGAGACAAATGCTTGCATTGCAATACCAAAAGGAGAGAATGGGGAAATGGAATTAATAGCATCTTCTCAGTGCTTGTCTGACATGCAGCATTGGGCAGCTAAAGCTCTTGGGGTTGATGCTAACAAGATAATAGGAAGAACCAAGAGAATAGGTAATGCATTCATTGTGATATTGCTAATATTATGATCACATAACAGGAGGTGGTTTTGGAGGAAAACAAACAAGATTCTCGCCATTGTCTTCTGCAATAGCTGTTGCTGCTAACAAGTAAGCTATTAAATGGTGAAAGATTATCAGAAAGATGAATATTGAATTTTAATTCATCGTATAGAGTTGGTAGACCTGTGAGGATAATGATGGACAGAAATGAAGACATGTTATATTCTGGTAATCGTCACCCATACAAAGGAATATACAAAGTAGGATATACTAGCAAAGGGAAGCTGACAGCTCTTGAAATGGAATTATACTCTAATGGAGGCTATTCAGCTGATGAATCAGTGCCTGTAAGCACAATGTACACATTTCTTAGTGATATATGCAATTTTTTCATTGATTAATATCATAATGATTAATTCTATTTTCTGTAGGTGCTAGAGAGAGCTCTCCTCCATTCAACTAATGCATACTTTGTTCCCAATGCTTATCTTCATGGAAAAGTCTGTTATACTAATATACCATCCAATACTGCATTTCGTGGATTTGGTGGACCTCAGGGAATGATAATAATGGAGGATGCAATGGACAGGATAGCTTATACACTCAATATGGATCCTGTCACCGTAAGACTGATATCAGCATATTAAGTTATTTATGTTATTTTGAAAACACCATTGCTTATTCTGATGATGTTCTTTTGTAGGTTCGTGAGATGAATTTGGTAAAAGAAGGTGATGAGACTGTATATGGATTCAAATTAACTGATTGTCATATGATGAAAGCCTGGAAGAAATTGCTTGAAGTCTCTCAATATTACCAGAGAAGAGATAAAGTGAAAGAGTTTAACAAGTTAGTCGTTATTTATTAGTAAGCTATTGACAGTTAAAGAGTAATAACTATCAGCACTGTGTATTTATTTTTAATTTTGTGTACATACTACAGAGATAATAAATGGATTAAGAGAGGGCTTGCTATCATTCCCACAAAGTATGGCTGCGCATTTGGATATAATGTGCTTGATCAAGGTGGCGCTCTGGTCCATGTTTATAAAGATGGCTCTGTTCTTATAAGTCATGGTGGGATGGAAATGGGACAGGTACACTTCCACTTTTCTATACAATAGTTTTTGATTCATTGTGCTGTAGGGATTACATACTAAAATGGTGCAGGTATGTTCGCGCTGCCTTGATATCCCTGTTAGCAAAATTCACATTATTGATACTGCTACTGATAAAGTACCTAATAGCAGTCCAACTGCTGCTTCATCATCATCTGATCTCTATGGAATGGCCATTAAGGTATTGGTAGTGTATGCAGTTGTACTGCATGACTTTATACTGTTATTGAAGGATGCTTGTGATCAAATCAGTGAGCGGATTAGGCCGTTTAAGGAGAAAGACCCAAGTGCTGGCTGGAATCAATGGGTGAGTATGAAATCTTTGTCACTGTTCATTCAATTTTATTTCAATCATTAGGTAATGTCTGCTTATATTGATCGAATTAATCTGTCAGCTCAAGGATTCTTTAAAGTTGATTATTCTGGTATTAACTGGGAAACAGGGAAAGGCCAGGCATACAACTATTATGCTTATGGCGTTGGCTGCTCTGAAGTTGAAATTGACACACTGACGGGAGACTTTAAGGTACATACCATGCAGACCTGCCTGGGGTCAATTACAATTTTATATGAGTTAATGGTCTTAATATCCACATAGTTGCTAAGGAGTGATTTAATAATGGATGTTGGAGACAGTTTGAATCCAGCTATTGATATAGGACAAGTGGAGGGTGCTTTCACACAGGGCCTTGGTTTGTTCACAATGGAAGAGGTTGTATTCCTGAGAGATGGAAAGCTACTGACAACTGGACCAGGAACGTACAAAATTCCTTCATGCAATGATATTCCCATTGAGCTTAATGTCTCTCTATTAGACTCTACCCCTAATCCAAAAGCAATTTTTAATTCCAAAGTATGCACATTATAATAGTTTTAGAATGCTTAACACTTTAATCTACTGTATATTGTATAGGCTGTGGGTGAACCACCATTATTTTTGGCTGGTTCAGTTTTCTTTGCTTTAAAAGATGCTATTAGGTCTGCTAGAACAAGTCGGGGATATAGTCCAGTTTTTGATCTCTGGGCTCCTGCAACTGCTGAGAGAATAAGGCTGGCATGTGAAGACAAGTTCACTAGACTGGTAATGAAAGAATAGCGTCGTTATAATTTACCTTTTGTTGGAATAGGTTGATGAAAAAATGAAAGAAAAGTTTAAGAATGTCGAGGAAAGGTGGAATGTTATACCTTAAAAACAATCAATGATTAATGATAAAGTTATTATTAAAATTAATTTTTAATAATAATAATAATTAACCCTCAAGATGGATGCTGGAGGATTGTCGTTAGATCATTACAGTGTACCACAGCGACACGTCTTTTATGAATCAGAAGAAGAAGAGGAGGAAAATGAAGAACAAGATAATTTATTTGTAATTGATGCTCCAACTGCACTCCCCAACGTCAAACTCTTGGTGCTGTGCACAACTGAAGTGGGCGGAGTGTTCATGAAGAGCCACGTGACCTTGGAGCCTCAACCGCTTTTAAACATAGACACTTGCTGTCCAGAGAAAGTATTGAAAGATTGTTATTTTCATCAAAGACGAGACAGGGTAAATGAGACGGTTGGGGAATTATATAGAGTTAAAGGAAAGGAAGACGCGTTTGTGTATGTTCAATTAAAATCCTTAAAAGACGAACATTGTAATCAGTGGAGTAGAATGGTAATCAAATGCATGAATGTAATTAATTGTAATATTAATAATTATTAATACTTATGTCAAAATTCAAATCCAAAAAAATTATTCCTTATTTTAAAAATCCAATAGTTGATAGATGCCACTAGGCCTGACACAGTTATAATCCTCCACTCATCTCTTCTTCATCAGTATTACCACACTGAAGATGAGGAGTTGGATGAAGAAGAGGAAGTAGAAGGAGAAGCACAGTTTCTGAAATGCTTACAAACTAGATCATGGTCTGACAAACCACTGACATCACTACTCAGTTCAAATAACATAATTACAGGAGAAGCAGCTGCTGGTAATCTTTTAAAATTAATTTCGTCAAAGTTATTTGATTTTTTTTAGCTATGTCATTGTGTCAGTATGCTTCAGTCCCTGCATCAATTGTTGTACAATATTTCTCGTCTTCTCTCACGCTTAAAGAAAGAGCAAAAGGATGGAGGCCCCTTTTCTCTCACCCTCTGTTATCTCAATCAGTCTCTCTTGTGGTAATTAATGTAACATTAATCAATTTTATTTTATTTTTTCTTTTCCTTGCTCTCTAGTCACTGGGTGTTGCTAATAAAAATTTGCATTCGCTTACACTTAGGAAACATAGTGATCTTGACACATTGTATACTTGAGTACTACTGACTAAGAAAATTTGTATTTGTTACATAGTACAAATACAATAACTACAATAATCAATACTAAATCAATGTCAGATACACTACTAGTTGCTACAAATAAGTTTTGTACTAGTTATTCATGAGAAATGATCAGGTTCACTATTGTCAGATTACAAGTACTTTTTCCTGAGATCTGTGTACATGTTTTCCCCTGCTTTCAAATGAGCACCAAGACAGCCTGCTTGTGGATGAGAAGACAAAGCAGATAGTGGTATGTTCACCACTGTTTTATCTGGTTGCATGAGGAGCATTTTTATTTCAGTAAAACCAGGGCGACATTCTGCAATTGGGTGCCTAGTGGAAGGAATTGTGGCAAGTGAAATGTCTATATATTTACAAAGTCCATGTACCAGCAGGATATCATAAGACTGTATATTGCTTTGGGGCAGCCAGGAGGAGGAGGCAACCTCTCATCAGAATATATCTTCTTCACTGCCTGCAATGGTAGATGTAGAATAACTGTTGATATCCTCATGCTCTCTCTTTCTTACTGCAATACAAGTATCCTTTTCGTAAGGTTTTTGTCCAATGCTCCATATCTCGTACAAGAGACACCCATAGCTCCAAACATCCGATGCTGTGGAATGTTTCTTGTCATTAAGGACTTCAGGCGAAAGCCATTTAACTGCTGTTATGGTCCCTCTCTGAGACATGTAGCTGTAATTTTCATCTTCAAAAGAGAAATTAATCTGTAAGAATTAGTTGCAGCATATTATAGTATCATGGTAATGCATGCATTTTACTTTGCATATATTTTCTGAAGACACTAGTATGTTTCTTGCTGCAAGACTCTTATGCACAAAACCTTTCCTTGACAGATACTGCATACCAAGACAGATCTGACGACAATAGCTCAGTAAGAGATAAGGAGCATGTGGAGAAACCTCACCACTAATACAACAGTCAATGTAAAAAATATCATTATAAATCTACTCTCACTTAGCTTTTAAGTTGACGAGGGCACCCTGCAGGCTTCCCTTATTCATAAATTCAATGATTATTGTAGGCTATATAATAAACATGGTGAATTCTTGTGACTATTCTTTATTAACTTACAGAGTTTTCATCATCGACAATAGCAAGTAGTTTAATGATATGAGGGTGGTTGAATTGACTCATGATTGCCGCTTCCTTTAAAAGTTGCAATTTTTCCTTTTGTGATGTTTCTCCTTTTATAATCTTAACAGCAACATCCATCACAACCCCATTAGGCTGCTCCCAGCGCCCTCTTAAAAAATTAGCACAACTGAACTGCCCTGAATTGCACAGCCTATAATTATCATATAACAACATGCACATCTAGCTGCCATTGCAGGCTCACATCAATTTATCAAATTTTATTAATGGCACGTTTGATTTTCTTATCTGCCCATATATCTCAATCATGTTGTCTCCAGGAGTGTGATACATTTTTGTAGTGTTTTCATCCTATGCATCATCATCATACTGTCAGTTCTGCAGACCCTAATGAATCACTTACTTCAACTTCTAAGTCAGTCACAGTGCAAATGAGTGTGGAATAATCACTATGATCACCTCCACCCTGCACATCTCAATGAGTCTGTTGGTGATCATATATACTTACCAAATGTCCTTGACCCTGTTCCTGTACACATTCTCTTCCTTCATATATTATGTTAACCAAATTTAGCTCATATTCACTGCTCTGTGTGGACAATACAAATGAGAAAGAAAACAAAGAAAGGCCGGGGTACATGTATGTTTCCAAATATTTTTACTTCCAATCTTCCAATTGATGCTTGCGTATTTGCTTCATGAAAATCAGAATGACCTACAAAAAATTTTAAAAATAAAGACTGAACTGTGCTACACTTAAGTTGACAGTTGCCTGTTTTCTTTCTTATTCTTAGAAACATCAGTAATCCCACAATACTTCCGCACCCTCCTAGTACTATTAGTATAGCAAAAGTTACACCAACAGCTATTCCTACTCCTGAGGAAGTGTTTGGCTTTGTAGTATAGCCAATAGAAGGAGCTAAAAAAGAGGTGTCAACTACATTATTTATCATTTCAATGCTTACTTATTGTAATTTGTGATGAATGCAAGTCCCCAGTGCATGTAATGATATCACTAGACCAAGTATAGCTTTTGTTATAATATAATGCTGTAGTTCCATTGCAAATGAAAGGAGGAGAATGGGATGCAATGCAAGTTGGTGCAGTTTTATTGCTCCATTCTCCATTAGTTTCACATGTGATGCTATCGACCCCACTCAAAGTATAACCTGCTTGACAAGTATAATTTACTGTTGAGTTAACACTGACATTGGTGTAACTAAGAATACCATTCTGTGGAACCACTGGGTGTTCACAGTAAATGACGTGACAAATAGGAGTGTTGCCACTCCATTCTCCATCTTCGTTGCATACTATTACAGAGGGTACTATGCTTGACTGTTCTTTAATCATATATCCAGGATAACAAATGAATTGAACTTTTGAGCCATAATTGTATTTATTTCCAATAGAGTATCCATTAATTATTTGACTGGGAGGTCCACAGGATATCAATTGACATGTTGGTACTGAGCTATTCCAATGATGAAAAGGCAAGCAATAAGATACTGAACTGCCTATTAACTTGTAACCGAAAAAGCAATGATAAGTTACTATTGATCCCGAAGAAAATTTGTCTCCAGTCCTCCAACCATTGTTAGGTTCACCTGGATCAGGACACTCAGTTGTCAACGAAGGGCAGGTAAAAGTCGACCATTTGCCATTTCCCTGGCATGTGATGTATTTTTGATACTGATTGATAATTCCTGCAGTATTAATGCATCTACAAATTGCTGTATCACCAGCCATTGTAGTACCATTTAAAAGGGTGCATTGCATGCCAAATTCATTTTGAGGTTGACCACAATTAACATTAGCAAATGAACCTGATTAGATACAGTACATTATAAAAAGATAGCTTTTTGTGAACTTACCGAGAGTAGCTTTAGCATACATTACTAGAGTATTCCGTAGGACTAAGGCATTATTTTGATGACAAGAGATTTGCAATGATTCCTTCGTTCCATTACTAAGGCACACAATAGAATAGTCCGCATCGGTGTCTCTTCTGTTGTTCTTTAAACTACTTATACCAATAAGAGGGAGAGGGTTTGGTTCTTTGAAATAGATGCCGATCACACTTCCCTTGGTGATGTCAATTATCTTGTGTATTGGAATATTTAGCTGTACAAACAGGCCTTTTCCTATAGAGCATTAACAAGGGTATAAGAAATAAGGTATAAAAAATAGGATTTAAAAGCTATAAGTTATCTACCATTAAATTATTCATAAACATTCATAGGTACCTCTTTTAGTCTTGCCAGTGAAACTGAACTGAAATAAACTATAGTGATCCTATGTGATACTAAATTAATCTTTAAAAATTAATTTATTTTACCTTTACGTACACTGGTACATTCCCAATTTTTTTCCAAATAGCTATGTTAACATAATATATGACACCATTCTGCATGTATCCATTGTAATATTTAATACTGTAGCTATTGATGGCTCCTTCACAATCAGCTGGAAATGCAGTATTTAAAATCCATTTCCCTCTCATAGATATTGTTTGGTTTGGCAAAGATATTGCAGGCCATGTTGTTGGCCACACTGTTTCATATTGACTCCTGGGAAGGTCATGTGTGCTACCAATTTGGCAAGAACAGTCAACTATAAAAAAGAAAATAAAAAAATAAAATTGGTAATCTTACCTCTAGAAAATACAGCAAAGAGACAACAAGCAAAGAAGAAATACATCTTGTTGAAGGAGAAACTTTTTAGTACACCCACGCAATACATAGTGGCTAGTTATTATTAAGTTTCGTCACAACATAATTGATTTTGTGCGCATGCTCAGTTCAATTACCCGCCAATCTGCTCATAAAGGCGGGAAGAGGTGGAGAGTAGAGGAGAATGTTTCTGAGGACTCCAGAGATAGTTTGGCATGGAAAGGAACCTATATTTAGTCTAGACTTTCAACAGTGTGGGGAAACATGGCGACTTGCATCAGCTGGAGCAGACCACACCATAAAAGTGGGATGGAAATTATGAAAATTATTATTTTATTTAAACTTTTCCACCTCTACTTCAAGATATGGAAAGTGGAAAGAGGAGAAGGAGAAGGGAATTTTGATCTTCAGTTTCTATCTAGCCTCGACAGACATACTAAATCAGTTAACGTCGTACGTTTCTCACCTAACGGATCCTACCTAGCCTCAGGTAGTGATGGTGAGTATTAATGATGTAATTTTTGTGAGGCGGGACATTACACTTTATATTACAGATTGCATGATCATTATATGGCAGTTGAATTCTAAAGGAGAGGGAGGGGCAGTTGCTGAAGGTACTTTTAATCCTGACGAAACTAATAAAGAGAATTGGACTGTCCATAAGATGTTGAGGTTTATTAATTAAAGTTTTAAATTTATTCCTAAATTTCTGAACTTTTCTTCCCCCAGGGGGCATATAGAAGATGTATACGATTTGAGTTGGTCACTGGATTCATCTTATCTCATTTCTGGATCAGTTGATAATACAGCAATCATATGGAATGTCACTAATGGTGCGTGTGTGAGAGAGAGTCTAATAATTTATAATGTACATGTACAGGTGAGAAGTTATCTATCCTTAAAGAGAGCCATCATTACATTCAGGGTGTGGCGTGGGATCCTAGCAACAGTTACCTAGCAACGCTCGGAACAGACAGGTGGATGGTACCTTTTTGATATTACTTTGTCGTATCCTCTTAATTAGATCACTGCGACTTTATAATAAACTAAGCAATGATAAGTATAAATGTGTCTTTAATATTAGCAAGATGAGTGAGGTTAGTTCCTGTGACTCTCTCATTCAATGCTAGTCTTAAACAGGACCCATCACAAGTTATCAAGTGTTGTAAGATGTTTCACGACGAATCAATGTCATCATTCTTTAGGAGGTTATCATTTTCACCTGATGGGAACTTACTAGTTGCCCCTGGTAATTAGCATTATAATTAAGAATATTAATGGTTTTCTCTTCTTAAAGGTGGCCGTGTAGAAGTTAATGATAAAGCAATAAATGTTAGCTGGGTATTCACGAGGTCAAGTTTGCCAAAGTAAGCTGACATTGATTCCTTCATTCTCATAATGTTCCTTTTCCAGGCCTGCCCTCTACTTGCCTTGTTCTGATAAGCCTTCAGTTATGGTCAAGTTTTGTCCAATTTTATTTGAACTACGTGAGCAGTCGCAGACTGCCCCCTCACTGATTGAGTAAGTAAAATTAATATCATTTATACCCAAATACACTTTCCTCTCTCTCTTAGTTTACCATATCGTATGATATTTGCAATACTTACACTACAGCAGGTTATCATTTATGACACTCAGCAGTCAATACCTATTGGCTATGTATCTGATATTCATTATGCTTCACTCACTGATGCTACTTGGTAAGATAATTATAACAATAAATAACTACTGTACTCTTTTAAGTGTATTATGCAATATGGAACACATGTATACTAAGCTCTCCCTTGTATGTGTACATCTGTTTATAAATAAGAGTAAATGGTCAGTTTTATTTCTCTCTCTTCTTTGCATGTACTGTAGGTCAGCTGATGGTTCTATATTAATAGTATCATCGTCTGATGGTTTTTGTTCAATTCTTTCATTCTCACCCGGAGAACTAGGAACTCCACTTTCCTCCGATAAATATCCCTCCATTCTTACAAACCCTGGACAGCTGACCACACCTACTCACCACACCCCAACAAACGAGGCACGGAAGCCGATCAGACGCATCACACCAATTAGAATAGATACACTAACCAGTCAAACCAGTCAGACAACCACACCCACAAACAATAAGAAAGCACGGAGAGTTGAATTAATAACATTAAATTAATAATAATAATAATTTGTGAAGTGATTAACAATAATAATAATAATAAATAATCAATGAATATTGTTATCTATATTGTAAGTACTGTCTGTTTGTTGTGGGCGTGGTTTGCATCAATAATTTCGAATTGTAACGATTTCTTGGTCTCGGCAGTTCATTGAACACCTGTAAATAGAGTATGAAAATTATGCGTAAATAGACGTCTCACTTTTTTATCAGAATGTTCTAAAGCATCGAGTGACATAACGCGACCTTTCAGCTTCTCATTGATAGCATCAATACTCTCGATTAGCCTGCTCTCCTCAGTAGCCAATAACAATGGAGCTGATACTAAGAGAGAGAGAGAGTAGTTGAAACTAATAAATTGGACCATCATTTTTGATTTTGTTCATATTCTACTGTCATAATACATGCAGAAAGTTTGAGCTGATTTTGAGCTCAAATTTTTGAGTCATGCTCATTTTTTTTTCGGCCCATGGTTTTTTCTCAAAAATGGCTCCGAAATCACCTCCAATTTTTATTAGATTTTCTGATACATATTGATGTCCTTATGCTATGCAGAAAGTTTGAGCTGATTCCAAGCTCAATTTTTCGAGTTACGGCCATTTTTTAAAATGAGCCAATTTCCGAAAAATTCCCTGTACTATAGCCCATGGTTTTTCTCAAAAATGGCTCCGAAATCACCTCAAATTTTTATTACATTTTCTGATACATATTGATGTCCTTATGCTATGCAGAAAGTTTGAGCTGATTCCGAGCTCAATTTTTCGAGTTACGGCCATTTTTTAAAATGAGCCAATTTTTGAAAAATTCCCTGTACTATAGCCCATGGTTTTTTCTCAAAAATGGCTCCAAAATCACCTCAAATTTTTATTACATTTTCTGATACATATTGATGTCCTTATGCTATGCAGAAAGTTTGAGCTGATTCCGAGCTCAATTTTTCGAGTTACGGCCATTTTTAAAATGAGCCAATTTTTGAAAAATTCCCTGTACTATAGCCCATGGTTTTTTCTCAAAAATGGCTCCAAAATCACCTCAAATTTTTATTACATTTTCTGATACATATTGATGTCCTTATGCTATGCAGAAAGTTTGAGCTGATTCCGAGCTCAAACTCTGGAGTTATGACCAATTTTTTAAACAATATCATTTGTGGTTGGTTCTTTCCATTTTACTATCCTTGATATCATCCGCAATATTTAATGCTCAATACATTTTAGAACCAAAAACAAATGATGTACATGTACATGTAGATGTAGATGTACATGTACATGTATTTGACACCATCTCTGATTGGAAGTGTAATGTTTGATATTTAGCAAGTGTGGTGAGCATTGCTTCACACGACACAGATTGTAAAGGTGATAAAAAGTGTAACCAGTACATTTATCACTTCTTTTCACAGTAAACAGAATCATTACCATATTAATCAACCCTTACTATATATGCAGGCACAGAATATAAACTGTGATTGGCATATAGTCATACTCCCCAGCAATACATGTACATGTACATATTACATGTATACAGGTACCTTGTTTGTTTGCTGTTGCATGCTCCTCATGATGCGATTGTTGTTGTTGTTGTTTTTGTTGTTGTTGACGTCTCCACAGCTTGACCGGATGATGAGAGTTACGACACCTTATACCCCGGGATATGTGGTGATGGGTGTGGCTTTCTCTTGAGGGCGTGTCTTCACCCGGTTTATTTAGATAAGCGTTGATGTGTCTCCAGAGTGAGTTTATTTCTTCATCAGTTGGTGTCCGGTTATTGTCCAGTATCGTACGGTCTACCGGTAACGTTATTAGCTGCGGAGAGAGTGAGCGTGGGGAGTGGGAGGAGTCTCTATCCTCTTCATAGGTGGAACTAGGATACAACCCGTTTCGTGGGTTCTTTGATTTTTGAGGATAAGCATTAGAGGGGGAGGAGGAAGAGGGAGATGCAAGTGATATTTTCATTTTAGGTGACGCTGCTCCCGTAGGATACGTGTGCGATAGGAACCCATTTGCCGTTATTAGTTTGGGCGGAGACTTCCGTTTCTGAAACTCGTCAATGAATCTCACTTTCTTTATTATCGTGCTGTTTGATCTTGTGCTCTTAGTCCCCAGTACGCTCTGATTACTCATGGTGGAGCTAGACAACGTTGCATCCATTATTTCGGACGGTCGCTTTAATATGCCGACAATCTTCTTCTCTTCGTCTTCTTTTGTGGGCGTGGCACCATCCGGGGAATCAAGAGGAGACGCAGAAGGCACAATTGTCAAATTGAGTACTTTGTGATGAAGCGATGGCTCGGAAGGTGTGGGTGTGGTTTGATCGGTATCAGACTCGGAGGATTTTGAACTTGTTTTATTTTCAGTTTTGGCATCTTCATTTTTTCTCTGTGGCGATGAGGGAGAACACGGACTGTCCAGGCTATCATGCAGAGAAGAGCTACTCGAGGATATTGTCGATTCTTCCAGCAATTCTGTCGATATTTCCTTTGTGGGTGTAGCTTCTAAGGTAGTTTCATTTTCGGGCGAAAGTACTGGGAATAATATTTTTGTAGGAGTGATTTGAGAGGCGTGATTTGTCGGAGAATCTACTGTAAATGACGGCTGTGAGTTGACGACCAAAAGAGGCTTATGGGAAACAGGAGGAGGAGGAGGAGGAGGAGGTTCTGGTGTAAAGAATGACTGGGCGCTTGAGTGACTCTGTTTACGACCTACAGGTACATGTACATGTATAGCCCCATTTACACTACAAACCAGTTTGGATTAAAGCAGTTCAGAAACCAGCTTAATTGTGTCTACGCGTAACTGTGGTTGAATCGTTTACAATGCTACATTGCATACATAACACAGCTGCTTCAGTACTTCAAACCATCTACCTGTACCTGAGGTGGTTTAGATAAGTCGGTTTCAAACCGCATTGAAATTGTCCACACGTAAACTGGTTTATTTCTAAACCGGTTTCACAAACCGCTTTGACTTTGAGGGCATAGTGTAAATGAGGCTATAATATCATAAAATGAAAGATGCTCAATTTTCACTCTCTCTGTGGTCTGTCTCTCTCTCTCTTACCTCTTATTGTTTCAAGTACTTCGTCAAGGGTTGGGGTATTGTGTGAGTGAAGTATTTCAACATTCGGTCCAAGAATAATACGATCGTCTCTCTCTTTTTTTGTCCCACTTCTTTCGCTAGAACTACTCCTATAATGAGTCTTATGACCTAAGAGGGATATTGAAGCAAGATATTATTATTTTAAAGCAAGTGGCATCCTGCTAACTTTCACTTGTAGAGGATCTTGACAGTTTTGGTGTGTGGTGACTAGAATGGTGATGAGCAGTTGGACTTGGTTTTACATTGCGATATATTGCGCTCCTAAACCTGTCTGTTGCCTCCTGCTGCACTTTCCTTCTCTCTTCTAGTGCCTTCTTCCTTCTCTCCTCCTCTGCCTTTGCCATTTCAACTTTCTTCTGCTCTAAAGCCCTACAATAGAGAAAGTGCATGAAATAGATAGAGAAGCAATGAAGCATTATAGTTAGAATGAAGTACTTCTTTCTTTGTATTGTTTGCTTGGAGAGCATTTGTGCCCTGCTCCTCATGGTGATAGTGGCCTGGTAATGCTCTTCGTGTAGCTTTCTAAGTCTCTCTTGCTCCAAGTATTGATACTGTGTCCTATAGACAAGGGAATAGAGAAGGGAGAAAGTTCAGGAAAACAATCCAGCCCCACCTAGCAACCAATAAGCAAAATGGCCAGGAGAGAGTTTGTATATATAACATATAAGTAATGTAAAGTTATGGAGGATACGAGTAAGCACCGCCTTGGTGCGGGCTTGTCATGCTAGCCTGTCTCTTCTCTTTTCTTCTCTTAGCAACGCTTTGTGATGCCCTTCTATTTGCTGTGTTTACTGCGATGCTGCTGCTACGAGACCTGTGATCGCTTCAATATTTCTGGGAGGGGTCCGGTACCCGTCTACGGAGGTATACGGCTAGTTGTGGTTATAAATAGTTATTAAAGAAAAAATGGCTACCGCTCAGTTGGTTCTTGGTCCTCCAGGGAGTGGAAAATCCACTTATTGTGCTGGAATGAGAGAATTTCTTTCGTCAATAGGTAGAAAAGTGTCTGTAGTCAATCTTGATCCAGCTAATGAGAGTCTGCCATACAAGGAAGATATTAATATTACAGACTTAGTAAGACTGGAAGAAGTGATGGAAAGACTTAAACTAGGCCCTAATGGTGGCTTGGTATATTGTATGGAGTACTTAGAGACTAATGTTGACTGGTTGGTGAAGGATATGGCAGTAAAGGATGCTTCACATTATTATATTATTGACTGTCCAGGCCAAGTAGAGTTGTACACTCACCATTCATCTTTGAGAAATATTACAAATAGACTCAAAGAAGAAGGAATGAAGGCTAGTGAAGGATTTGTATTTTTTTTTGTTTTATTTGTACTTTCCCTGCCTCCTCAGGTTGTATCAGTTCATTTAATAGATTGTGAGAATTGTACTGATCCTTCTAAATTCATATCATCTCTACTTGTTTCTCTCTCTTGTATGTTACAAATTGAATTGCCCCATGTTAACATCCTCACCAAGATTGACTTATTAAGCAAATACAAGGAACTACGTATGTACAAGAACTACAATGTTATATAATGAGTATTAAATGCATGATTGATGACATTATCTTTCTTTCTCTTTTAGCTTTTGACATTGATTATTATACTGATGTTATGGATCTTTCTTATCTTTTGTCTCTCTTGTCTGATGAATCATTCTTCAACCGATATAAGAAACTCAATGAAGCTATAATAAGTATAGTGGAGGATCATAGCTTAGTTTCATTCTTGACTCTAAGTATACAGGTATATACACGTATAATGAGAAAAATAACATTGTAGTACTGCCTTACAAACTCTATATATTCCCTTGAATCCAGGATAAAGAGAGTGTTCATAAAGTTAGTACAGAGATAGATAGAGCAAGTGGTTACATAATGAATCAAGATGAGAGAGATGCTCTGACTTCTAGTTTCCTCTCGAGTTATCCTGCTGAATATCAGTATATGAAGTAAATAGTGCAGGATCAAAATGGAGATGATAGTTTCTCTTTTATAGAAATATGGGAGTCAGAGAAAAATTGACTGAAAATAAAGATTGATTTCACTTCTACTTTATTTTTTTCGAAAAAAAAATTAAAAAAAAAAACAAAAAAAAAAGCGACACCCAGTAGGGGACTCGAACCCCTGACCCTCAGGTTAAAAGCCTGATGCTCTACCGACTGAGCTAACTGGGCTCACGGAAACAAATCAACTGTTGGAGCAAGGAGTAGACTCATGGAATATTCAAGAAATCCAATGCAGTTTCCAAGGTTCTTGCTACATTATTAGGTCCTTCTTTAACCTAAAACATATTAAAAATAACTGTAAAAGAGTATTAGCTTTACTTCTCCTTCTCTTAGCAAGAGTACTGCATTTAAACCAGCACTGGTGGCAGCCTGGTAATCTCGAACCTTTAAAATTAAGGAAAAAATTAAAAATCACAATCTATTAGCGTCTCACGTAGTCATTTCCAATATGCCATGCTTCTAATTCTGATGCTTTTGATATATCTAGCGCTTTATAAAATAACCTATATATTAGAAAATATATTCTGATATTTACATTAAGATCCTTACCGTGGATGAGGTTTATGAGTTCTCTCATTATACGAAACTAGGACAAAATCAAAGAATTCCCTCAGACCCAAACCCTCGAGTATTGTTTCTGTGTGCATAAATTATAAAGTTATAAAAGAATGAGGCTCTTACCTAATCTTTCATCAAAATTAGAAATAGCTCCAAGTTTAACTGTTTTTGATGAGTTTTTAATGCGCTTAATGAAGGGCCAAAGATCATCATAGATACTCCAGCATTGTTTAGTACTGAAATCAGTATAAAGTGAATGGCATATATTGACCATATTATTTGTATTGTCCACATATCCAGAGCCTCTTAGAGTCTTTTCTACCACCTATTACATAAGGCATGCTGGCAGTTAGTGGGACCAACAAATAGGCCTTCTCCTTAGTGGAAAAGCATATTTTGTTAATGTATTATGTAATGCAATATAATGCATGAATTCAATCAACATACTGTATCCCACCACATCTTGCAATTCATGCTTGCAGAATAGCAACCAAAATTAGGATAGTCTCTGTCCATTTCTTTAAACTGCAATCTAAAGAAGAGAAGGACGAAGCTGGCTAATAGCTGGTCTTACCTAAACTCTTTCTCAACAGTCTTCTCATCAAGCTTCACTCCAGTGTGCCTGTAAACATGCCTCACCTATTAGATAAATGCATACTAAAACAATTAATTAATATTCACTCACATAATGAGAGCCAACACTCCCATTGACTTTTATACAAGTACCAGTTACATCTAAAGTCACTAATCTGCAGGTAGCTGCCGCCATTTTGTTTCAGGGCGGGGCTGGCAGCCTTAACCCGGGTGATTGCCCGCGAAATCGCCATCTTTGAGCTGCCTGTGCAATACAAAGATCGAGACAAAGATGGAGTCTTATACTGGCAATACAAGAACTGGAGAGCTCCCACGTTTAACGGGATCTCTCAGAGTCTTTTCTAATGTATTCAGTGACCAGGAGTCATATCTTCCCTCTGACACGGCTGCTTTGCTGGAAAGAAAGAGAGAGAAGAGGAAAGAGGCTGGTTTATCTCATTCAAAGACATGGCCTCAAGTCTCTTCATCAATTTTAAAATCAATCAATAGACAAGACACCAATAAAGTGAGACACGATCACACACACAATGACAATCGTATATATATATATATATATATATATATATATATATATGCTGTATGGAAAGTTTGACTTGAGTTAAATCTGATTGCAACAAGCATTACATAATTATTATTACATTTTTCTGCTGCAAAACAAACAATCCATTATATTCTAAATATGATCTCATTTAATCTTTTATTTTGAAAGGTTGAAGGACTTTTGAAAGACTTCACTCGCTCTGTTGCAGACCTCATTGGGGAAGAAGACGAGAGTGTCCTTCAGTCAGCCTCGGTCCACCTTTTCAGTCTCTTCTCCTTCTCCGATCCTCCTGGGACGTGGTGCAAGGAACACGGTGAAGACATTCGTAAGACCTTTGGTCCTTATCCAGCCTCAATAGCCATGAGATCCTGTGGTATAGTAGGAGAGATACACTCCTTTACTCCTAATCAAGAGAGTAGTCATGATGGCTCAGTCATCACTTCTAGTGGAGACTCAAAAGGGAAAAGTGACGTAGCTCAAAAGGTCAAGGAATTTGGATCTAACATCACGTCTTTTCAATTTAATTCGAATCTACTGGGCGTGGCCGAGACACCTGTTGCCACGGAAACATTAGGGCCAATCTCCGATGATGATGATGATGCTGTGATGTCAAAGGTTACTGATGATATTTTGGCTGAACTATCAAAATCTAAGAAATCTCAAAATGGGAAGCAAAAGAAGATTAATAAGACTTCTGCTCCTCCTCCTCCTCTTGCTACTGCCAAGTTTGGTACTGAGTGGTTGCAGGAGCGCTGTAAGAGGTGTGGCTCTGAGCTGCCATGGGAACAGCTGTACCAACAGTTGTTTGAGTTGCTCCTATCAGAGACAGATGAAACATCATTACAAGTATCGGTGAGTTTGTTTTGCAACTAAACATACACGTACATTTTCCCCATTTTATTTTCATGTTTCCTTCTCTCCTGTAGCTGGTTGAATTGGTCGGTTTCTCTAGTTTAGAGTTCGTCCAAGAGCTTCTAGTGAACAGAGAGAAGATTGTAGACACTTTATTGCACAGTCAGAATGGGGCCAATGCACTACCTAAAGGAACTCCCTCCTCACAAGGCAAGACTATATATTTACTCATACGTGTTTTATTAGAATTTATAGGAGGCGGAGCAAAAGGTCCTTCCAGACCAACCATTGGTTGTCAAGTATCAATTAAAGTAAGAATGATTGTATGTGAGCGTGTGATGGGTGGGTGTGGTTTAGTCTCAGGAGGAGAAGGCGCTTGAGAAGAAGGCAAGGAAGGAAGGAAGGAAAGAAGAGAGACAGAGAGCAAAGAGAGAGAAAGATGAAGAGTTGGATCACCTCTCAAGGTTAAAGCAACAAGGATATGATCCTGAACTATTAAAAAAAGAAAGGTGAAAAAAATAATGACAGAATAATCACTATGATGATAGTGATACCTACTACTGCATGTACATGTACATGTTCATGATAAATGGTGTGATGTATTTTTAGGGAGAGAGCATTGGAAGATGCCAAGAGGCAGCCATTATTTAAGCCACACCCATCACAGAGAGAAGGGGACCGGTCTTATCCTAATGTTTATGACTCTATGGCAACAGTAAAAATAACTCCATCTTTTCTAGCTGGGAAACCAGTGAGTACATGTACACTTATTAATGTATGTAATGTATGATCCTTTTTTTCAGGTAGGTCTTCCTGCTGGCTCTGATAAGAAGGATCACGAGTTTTACGAGGAAGTGGTGGTACCTCATTCTGCAGTTCCTCCTCCTTTTATAACTGAAAAGATATTAATCAAAGAATTAGATGACATTCCTCAAGTTAGTCAAATAAGAAGAACACAATCACGATAATAATATGAAACATCACTTTAACCTTATTTCTTTTTTCTCTGTGTCTCTTTCATTAGATGGCATTCAAAGGTACCAAGTCACTCAATACAATACAGAGTGCTGTGTTTGACACTGCCTATTATACTAATGAGAACCTGTTGATATCAGCACCAACTGGAGCTGGCAAAACTAACATTGCCATGCTAACTATACTACGAGAGATTAATAACAACATTGATGCTGGAGTCATCAGAAAAGACAAATTTAAGGCACGTTTCTAACTGTCACATAACTTATACTAGTAACTGTACACTTTAGATAATATACGTAGCTCCAATGAAGGCTTTAGCTGCTGAAGTGGTTCGTAATTTCTCGTCAAGATTGTTACCACTAGGAATCAGTGTGAGGGAGCTGACTGGAGACATGCAACTCACAAAATACGAGATACAGAATACTCAAGTATGCCCCTTGACTTCACCCAATCTACGCATAACCAACCTCATTTTAGATGATAGTGACAACTCCAGAGAAATGGGATGTTGTTACAAGGAAGTCCACTGGAGACGTGTCTCTGTCCCAGTTAGTGAGGCTGCTCATTATTGATGAGGTGCACCTGCTCCATGAGGACAGAGGGGCAGTGATAGAGTGCCTTGTTGCTAGGACACTGAGACAGGTTACCATGTTTCTGTACCTTTTTATTGATTTATTTACAATTGTCTCTTTGCTCTTTATTCATCTCTAAAGGTTGAGACTAGTCAAAGGCTAATACGTATTGTTGGTTTATCAGCCACACTCCCCAACTATCTTGATGTGGCCCGGTTCCTTCATGTCAACCTGAATAGGGGATTGTTCTATTTTGACGGTCGGTTCAGGCCAGTCCCTCTCATGCAGGTATTCTCTGGAGTCAAGTCACCCAACCCCCTGGGGCAGCTGAGGGAGATGGATAGAGTCTGCTATAACAAAGTCTTTGATAATGTTAGGAAAGGCCATCAAGTGAGGACTGTAGCTTTTGTAGCTGATTCTGTAGTGTCAAAGATTATTGTACAAGTTTTAGCCAAGACTATTAATATTATCTTATGTTGTGTGGAAAGTGTGAACTGTTAGTACTGCTTGTTAAAGGTTTCCTCTATTCCTGTATGTTCTTTAGGTGATGGTTTTTGTTCATGCTCGTAATGCCACGGTAAAGACTGCCATGTCTCTCAAGGACTCTGCAGTCGCTAAGGGACACTCTGATCTCTATGCACCAGAGCAATCTCCAGCACTGGGTCAAGCAGAGAAACAGGTCAGGAATGATTTACTGATGAGTCTCCCAACCTCCTCCTTTTTAGATTGGAGCCTCAGGATATAAGCCACTTAGGGATCTCTTCTCTCATGGCTTTGCTGTTCATCATGCTGGAATGTTACGAAAAGACAGAAACCTTGTTGAGAAACTCTTCTCCGAAGGACTCATCAAGGTATTGGTCTGTACGGCAACCCTCGCTTGGGGAGTGAACCTTCCCGCCCACACAGTCATTATAAAGGTGAGTTGCTCTTTAATTAGAATACTCTAAATATTAACAAGTAATTCATGTACTTTATTCCTTTTTAGGGTACTCAAATATATGATGCTAAGAAAGGCTCGTTTGTTGATATTGGTATACTTGACGTTATGCAGATTTTTGGACGAGCCGGTCGTCCACAGTTTGATACTTTTGGCGAGGGACATATCATAACGACTCACGACCTTCTCTCAAAATACGTCTCAATGCTGACTCAGCAGCAACCAATAGAGAGTCAACTGATGAATAGCTTAGCTGATAGTCTGAATGCTGAGGTGGGGGGAGAGAAAGAGGGAGAGAGAGAAAGAGAGAGAGAGAAAAATACATGTGTACGTGTATATAATGTGGAGTTTCATTGTTTGTTTATTTATTATTCTCTCCAGATATCTTTAGGTACTGTCAGTAATATCGAAGAGGCTGTCACCTGGTTGAGTTATACTTATTTCTATGTTCGTCTTCATCGCAACCCACTGGCTTATGGTGTGTCATACCACGATAAAGAGGTACATGTAATGAAAGAGAGAGAGAGATAGGAGGGGAGTAAAGAAAGGAAGAATTACATTTATGCATTTTGCAACTTCACTTCTCATTTTATATAATTTTTTTGTGCAGCTTGATCCTACTTTAGAGGGACATCAAATAGCTTTAATACAATCCTCAGCTAAATCACTAGACAAAGCTAAAATGATACGATACGCCGAGAGGAATCAGTCACTCTCTGCTACTGATTTAGGACGAATCGCTGCCAACTTTTATATCAAATATGCAAGCATAGAGGTCAGAGAATGAGAGAATGATCATAAGTGATATTAGTATTGTTGTTATCATTATTATTTACTTTTAATTTTTAATTTTTTTTCTTAGATATTTAACGAGTTATTCAAAGACCACATGACGGAAAGTGACATCCTATCAATGATTTCCCAGTCTCAGGAATTCGAACAAATCAAAGTCCGAGACGACGAACTCTCAGAACTTGATCAACTCCTAACCAACACTTGCTTGCTCCCTGTAAAAGGAGGCACAGAGAACGTCCATGGAAAGGTCAATATATTGATTCAGGCTCACATCTCTCAAGAGAGGGTCGAAGGGTTCTCTCTTGTCTCCGATCTCTCTTATGTCTCTCAGAATGCGACCCGTATCATTAGAGGGGTTTTTGAGATAGCCCTAAAGAGAGGGTCTCCCAGACTAGCCTACAAGTTGTTATGCTTGTCAAAGTCTATCGAGCATCGGCTCTGGATCGTCAGTCATCCACTGAGACAGTTTGAGCGCCTTTCGTACGAGATACTCCAGAAACTTGAAGGGGCCGAGCTTAGTATTGAGAGAATGAAAGAGATGAGCAGTGAGGAAATAGGTACGTGTGCCCTCTGGATCTTGTACTAGCAGTGATATATGATCTTTAATTGCTTTGAGGTTTATAGCAACTTGTTCTGCATGTAATTTTATGCTGTGGTCATTAGAAATTATTGTATATCTTTTGCTTTTTTTTTATATCAGCTCCAAAGCACCTCCAATTTATAATTCTTTTTCTGATGTGTCTTATACTCTTGTCATTATCTAGGTTTGATGGTTCATCATGTCAGAAAAGGTAAAGATATTAAATTCCTCGTGGAATCCTTTCCCTCACTCTCACTGGAGGCCTCAATCCAACCCATCACACGCTCCGTCCTCAGAGTCCGACTCTCAGTCACGCCCACCTTTACTTGGAGCGACCGTATTCATGGCAACGGTGTTGAACCCTGGTGGGTGTGGGTAGAGGACCCGGATAACGACCACATCTATCACTCGGAATATTTCCTCCTACAAAAGAAGCAAGTTTTATCGAGAGAGGAACAAGTTTTGTCATTCACTATTCCTATATTCGAGCCACTCCCAACCCAGTACATAGTCAAAGTGGTTTCAGATCGTTGGTTGGGGGCGGAGTCAGTCACTCCCATCTCATTCCGTCACTTGATCCTACCGGAGACACACCCACCTCACACCAAGCTCCTTGATCTCCACCCACTTCCTGTTGGGAAGGTACTGAAGAAGAAGGAGTATGCCGAGCATTTTAAATTTAAATATTTTAATCCGATTCAATCGCAAATATTTCATACAATATATCATTCAGACTCCAATGTATTGTTAGGAGCACCCACTGGTGAGACTAACACACTTACATACATGTATGTACTCTATCTCTTATTTCTCTCTCTCTCTCTCTTTCACTCCTTTCTTTTGCTATTAATAAACAAAATACAAAATAGAAATGTGCATATTATGTATCTTTATTTTCTCTTCTTTTAGGTAGTGGTAAGACAGTAGCGGCTGAGCTAGCCATGTTCCGTGTGTTTGAGCAGTATCCTGGTAGTAAGTGTGTCTACATTGCTCCACTGAAGGCTTTGGTAAGGGAAAGGATTGAGGATTGGTCTGTGACATTCGGTCAGAAGCTAGGAAGAAGGTACAAGAATAGTACTACATCATGTACCTGTTTCTCTCCACTACATACAGTGACTCACACAGTTTTATTTTATGTCTTTTAGTGTGATAGAGCTAACAGGCGATACTGCTCCTGATAGTTTATTGATAGAGAAATCTGATGTCATTGTCACTACTCCAGAGAAATGGGATGGGATAAGCCGTAGTTGGCAGAACAGAAAATATGTTAAAGTATAATCACTGTACTTGTGCTGTATATAGTGCAGGGTATTTTGTCACCATTTTTACTTAGTCATTAGCCAAATTTTGCCAAAAATAACTAGGAGAGAATACTTGATTTTAATTATTTTTTGATGCATATACATGTACATATTATGCATAGAAAGTTTGAGCTAATTCCGATCAAGTTTAGATTTGTTATGAATTTTTAAAGTTACTCAAAAATTGGGCCAAAGTCCCTTGTACTATAGTACAGGGTCGTCAGCTAAATTTCGTCAAAAATGACTAGGAGAGAACTCTCTATTTTTATAATTTTTTCTGATGCATATACATGCTCTTATGTTGGGTATCAAGTTTGAGCTGATTCCGATCAAAATTGGATTTTTTATGAATTTTTAAAGTTACTCAAAAATTGGGCCAAAGTCCCTGTACAGGGTCATCGGCTAAATTTCGTCAAAATTGACTAGGAGAGAATTCTCTATTTTTATAATTTTTTCTGATGCATATACATGTTCTTATGTTGGGTATCAAGTTTGAGCTGATTCCGATCAAAATTGGATTTTTTATGAATTTTTAAAATTACTCAAAAATTGGGCCAAAGTCCCTGTACTATAGTACAGGGTCGTCGGCTAAATTTCGCCAAAAATGATTAGGAGAGAATTCTCCATTTTTATAATTTTTTCTGATACATATACATGTTCTTATGTTGTGTAGAAAGTTTGAGCTAATTCTGATCTAAATTGATTTTTTTATGAAGTTTTAAAATTACTCCAAAATCGGGTCAAAGTCCCTGTTTTTTGCTGAAATTGACTAGGAGAACATTTTTAATTTTTATAATTTTTTTTGATTAATATACACTTATGTTGTTTATCAAGTATGAGCTGATTTTGATTTTTTTTTTCAAAAATTTAAAGTTTAAAATTAATATTAATGCTTGCTACATGTCTGTGTACAATCATAGGAACTTTAATTTTATTATTCTTATACAGGCTATAAGGTTGATTGTGATTGATGAGATTCACTTATTGGGTGATGAGAGGGGGCCGGTTCTGGAAGTCATAGTCTCTCGTACTAATTTCATAAGTTCCCACACTCAGAATTCTGTTCGTATTATTGGCCTATCGACAGCACTGGCAAATGCAGGGGACCTGGGACAGTGGCTGAATATTGGCCCAGGGGGTCTGTTTAATTTTCACCCAGCGGTCAGACCGGTTCAACTAGAAGTTCATATTCACGGATTCCCAGGGAAACACTACTGCCCTAGGATGGCTACTATGAACAAACCTGCCTACTCGGCCATCAAGTTGCACTCGCCTGAGAAGCCAGTTTTGATTTTTGTTTCGTCGCGTCGTCAAACTCGTTTGACCGGGTTTGATCTTGCGTCTTATGTAGCTACTGAGCCCAACCCTAAGCAATGGCTGCATATCGATGAAACTAAAGTATGTGAATCTATAGTTACTTAATAATTTTAACCACAAATCAAGTGACCAAGTGACTGTAATTGTATGCTTTCTCCCTCTTAAGCTTGATTCTCTTCTTCTGTCAGTCAGAGACACTAACCTCAGATTTACTCTTCCATTTGGTATTGGCCTCCATCATGCTGGACTGCACGAGAGAGACAGAAAACTAGTCGAAGAACTCTTTGTCAATCAGAAGATACAGGTCTGTGTAGTTCCATGGAGGAGACTATTTTTATAAAGCCGTGTCTATTTGTAGATACTAATAGCTACAGCAACACTGGCTTGGGGTGTTAATTTCCCTGCTCATCTAGTGATTGTGAAAGGGACAGAGTATTACGATGGGAAGACTCACAGATACGTTGACTACCCAATCACTGACGTACTGCAGATGATGGGCAGGGCAGGAAGGTAAGAGAAAAGGAGGTTTACTCTTAGGATTACTCGTTTAGTCACCTTAACCAGTTACATGTACATGTACTGTGTATGTGTGTCCTCTAGGCCTCAGTATGATGATCATGGAGTTGCCTCTATATTAGTTCAAGATCTCAAAAAAGACTTTTATAAGAAGTTCCTGTACGAGCCTTTCCCTGTTGAGAGCAGGTGAGTCTCATCTCATGAAACATCATGTGACCTTCCCCTTACAGTCTATTAGCTGTGCTCCCTGATCACTTGAATGCTGAGATTGTGTCCGGTACTGTAACATCAAAGCAGGATGCTCTTGACTATCTCACGTGGACTTATTTCTTTAGAAGACTAGTTATGAATCCTAGGTATCTTACTGTTCTTCAGTATCTTTATTATCATATTTTGTAATGGCCAAGTAAAATAATTAGTCATTTTTTGCTTTTCTTGTATCAATCTTAGTTATTATCAATTGGAAGACACTAATCGAATAAATCATTATCTCACAAAAATTATAGACGACTGTTTTTCTGACCTCCTTTCTTCATATTGTATCAGACTGGAAGAAGTGAGACTCTCATTACATGTAAATGTACATGTACATGTTACCTCGTCACAGGATGAAAGGAGCATAGAAGCAACGGTCCCTGGCTGCATAGCATCCTTTTATTACCTTCACCACAAAACAATGAGACTCTTCTCTGATACACTTCACTCAAGCAACACAATGGAGGAATTACTAAAATTACTTTGTGTAAGTTCTGATAGTGAGAAGTAGATTGTCTCACTTCTTTCTTGATAGGATTCATCAGAGTATGCTGAACTACCTGTTAGACACAATGAGGATCAATTGAATGAGTGAGAAACAACAGATATAATGAGAAACAACACTCTCTTTCTTTCTTTTTAGAACATTAGCTTCACAGTTACCATTGCCAGTTTCTCCTCAATCCTATGACAGTTCTCACACCAAAGCATTCCTATTGTTCCAGGCTCATTTCTCACAGGCAGCACTACCGATTGCTGACTATTTGACTGACACTAAATCTGTATTGGATCAATCACTGAGAATATTACAAGTATACAATACTACATCATTCTCTCTTGCATAGTTTGTGTACTTTTCTGCAACCACAAACTCCTGCTCTTCATTCCTTCTTCTATTCTTTTAAGGCAATGATAGATTTGTCTGCTAATGAAGGATGGCTCCAAACAACGTTAAAGGCAATGTCTCTAGTACAGATGTGTGTCCAAGGACTGTGGAGCTATGATTCATCATTGCTGACACTACCTCATGTACAGGAATCACACATTGAACTCCTTAACAGTAATATTAGCAAGTGAGTGGGAGTTATTATTATTAATTGTTATCATTATTCTTGTTGTTATTTCCAGGAGATCTAGTGCTAGAAGATGTGGTATAGGACAGATATCAAGTATAGCTGAACTGCTGATGATAATGGAGCATGATGCTAACTTCATCCATCACTCATTAGCAATAGAACTTAACAATTCTCAGCTTAAAGAAGTAATAAAAGAGGGAACAGATAGTTGATACACAGAAACAATAAACTCCTCTTATTTTGTTTTTTTTTTCTTTAAGTTAGGGGATGTGCTGCGTTCATTACCAATGCTAACAGTCAAGACGGGGCTACTGATAGCTAATTCTGAGGATGAAATGAAACCGATAAACATATCAAATGAACAAGAGACGATACCTTGCAGTACTGAATGTATACTGAGTGTGATCATTTGGAGGGACAAGAAGTATAAGGTACTAAATGCAAGTACATATTATTATAAAAGAGTAAATATAATTTTTTTAAATTTTCCTATAGGGTGATAGAAGTGTCTATTGTCCACGTTTTCCTAAAACAAAGCCAGAGGGGTGGTGGCTGTGTCTGGGGAATGCAGACCAGAAGGAACTCATAGCAATGAAAAGGATCGGGCCTCATTCTCATCACGTCAAACTCAATTTCGTGGCTCCTCCCACTCCCTGTCATGTAATTTTCACGCTTTATGTGATAAGCGATTGCTATCTAGGACTGGATCAACAATACGACCTTAAATTAACATTTGTATGATTTAATTCAGATGTAAGATTTTAAGTTATATCAAAAAATGAATTATTTGATAAGTCTATTATGAGACAGGAAGCAGATTGTTAATTATCGCACTCACACTCGTTTACACCTTTTGAGGTGTTAACATGGTCTCCTTTTTAATGAGATGAAACAGGAAGTGAAGTTGTTTACATCAATTCACACAAGGCATTAACAAGGTTTTGTTATTTCTATTGTCTCTACTGTTACTTGCAAAAGTGGATTATACACTCTTGCTACTTGTTATAGCAATAGCACCCATAGTTTATTTATTGCTAACTCTTTCTCTATCCAGTGACTATTTAATCAGCAAAACTATCTTATAAATAAGGGAAAGGACATAGGACTACTCTCAGCATAAAATGTGAAAAAATAAAGCAGCAAAATAAACTAATAAAAAACTATAGCAGTTTTAGAGTTTTCTTTGTTTGAAACTGGTCAGATAAATGAGGTTGTTGTCTTCTCAGAGAGAGCTGAGGGGCTACGACCACGAGAAGTACTGCCAGGGGCAGGTTTCAAACTGTGGGCAGGGGAAGACGGGGGAATCCCAGAAACATTACTAGCCACACCCTGGCTCTCGGCAAGAGCTGAGACCACTGCTAGTAGCCTCTCATTCTGTTCAGAAAGTGTCTCAACACTTGAGCATAGATCATCAACACGTCTAGCTAGGGCTTGATTCTGCTGCTGAACCTCCTCAATTGGCGCCTAAAAAAAAAAAATAATAATAGCAGTATAACAATACATTAAGTATTGTTATACTTATGTGTATTGTATGTTATTTCTGCTTTGACTTACTGGAGGTGCATTTAGTGCATTTTTGATATTCTCAGCAGAATCAAATCTAAAGACTCCAAGTACATTGTAAAGGAGATGCTTGATGAATCCAAGCTTCCTGTTGGGGTATATCGTGTCCCTGCCAACAATGAAGTTCTTCCTCAGCCACAAGGGGAGGTACTCCTCTACCGTAAGGGTGAGCTCAACCTAAGGATAAGAGGAGGAAGGAGATGGAGTGAAAGTATAGAATGAGGTCGGTGTTACTGTGTTAATGTTCACTCACTCTCAGGGCAAGACGGTTGGTTCCGGCTGATTCCTGCATCCCCTTGATATCGTCAACAGCAAGACCGACCTGTGGGCAGAGTCAATGGGCAGAGACTATAAAATATCCGAGGACATACCAGTAAATTGATGAATAGAATGGGCATAAGGATTAGGAACAGGATCCACAGTACATAGGAAGCAAATGGAAACTGAATATCGTCAGAGCCTGCTTCGGACTGTGACCCAGTCTGACGGAACGTGCTGTCAAACTCAAACTCACCAGTCGTCATTGTCATAGTTTTAACAATACTCCTCCAGGAGTTCATAAAAGGAGTGCGCTAGAGAGAGAGAGAGAGGGAGAGGAGAAAAGAGATCAGTTACAATTAAGTGTGTCATTATTCACTTACTATTCCCATTGCTTCGCTGATTGGATCATTAAAGAGCATATTAAATGAAAAGGCAAAAGCCAGTACCAAGAGGATAGCGAGGAAGACCAACTTCAAGAAAATATAGAAAATATTCATAAACATCACTACATATATTCCAGTGATGGGTAGTTTACTGACGAAAATCACGAGGTCGATCCAACTCAGGAAGACGGCTATGGCCCCCAACTCCCATTGCCATTTGTGAGGACAGTAGCAATCCTCAGTATAAATGAATGCAAATAAAATGGCAAAAACAAACAAGAGGAGCTCCAGATAGTTGACCCAATCGAGGAGGTACTGGATACGATATTTAAGAAACTGGATGAACTCAAACAGAAGCTTTATGATGGCAAATAGGATTACAAATGCTGCCCCAACTGGTACAAAATATTGAGAGGCTCGACTTGTTTCTGTGGTGGAGATTACATATAAGGATCAATGTGATGTACAGTGTAACTTACCAGCAGTGCAGCTGAGTGAACTGGAATTAGCATTACTCAGCACCATCTGACCTAATAATAATAATAATAATAATAATAATAATAATAATAATAATAATAATAATAATAATGATAATAAAGGTGGGTCAAAAGTATGTGTTGACGTGGTTGAAACTAATATTGATGGTTTTAAAAATTAATATAAGCATTTTAAGAATGTCTGTGAGGCAATAGTTTGTGTCAATTACATTAAAATGATCAATAGAAACATTTTAATCGTCTTACAAGTGTTGGAGTTTGGAGAGAGAGAGGCCAGTGCAAATGAAGTGAGGAAGATTACAAAAAGAAGATAAATGAAGAGATTACTGAAATACAGCATCTGCCCATATTTGAACCACTTGTAATGTAACAGATTAGCAGCTAGTGGAGCTTTATATTTACACTTTTGATAGCTATATATATATATATATATATATATATATATATATATATATATGTATATATATATATATATATACATATATATATATATATATATACATATATATATATATATGTATATATATATA